CAGCATCTCTAATAGCAAACTGGATAAGTGTTTAAGCATATCACAACTGGGAGGACTGTGTGTGTGTGTGTGTGTGTGTGTGTGAATGCACACGCATGTGTATGTTTTCTAATCCCTAGCCCAACGAACTATATTCCAAAACATAATGGGATCACAAAAACTAAGTTATCTAAACAAAAAAATGAAGGATGTCATAAGCAGAAACGTATCTCTTTCCATAATAGTTAAAATTTTTGTGTACAAATCTCCTGCAACTCATTTCCAGAAAACAAGTTAAAAGTTTATTCACTTTGAGGCCAAGTGCTGCTCAGTAATATTAAATACTCAGCTTTAAATTTCTGTACTTTTAAGTTTTTTAGTGTTTACATGAATTACTAACAGTTGACTTGTTACTAACACCAAAAATAGACTACAGCTTTATTCTCACACACAACATCCAGAAAAACCCCATCTTCCTAAATCTTCCAAGTACACCTGAACCTCTGATGATTAAAGTTGTCTTACAAATTTCACATGGGAAAGTGGTTCCTTGGGGATAATATATTTTTTAGACATGAATTTGAATATTAAGCTTAATACATATGCCCTAACAAATCCTCCAAAGTGGAATAATTTTGCCTACAGAGAACTCTTCTTACCCAGATACAGATCTAGACTTGGGCCAGTTGTCCTATGAGGCCAGGGATTGTGTTAAATACTTAAAGAAAGAGGCCAATGAAAGATGTGCTATTCTAATTTCCATTCTTAGTACTTCCACCTCCTGCCACGCTACTGCTGTGGGGATCTGACTTGCCTGTTGTAAACTGAGCATGCTGTGCCTGGTTTCAAAAGATCAGTTCCTGTTGCCATGGGTTTCTTCTACGAGGCATCAACAAGTCCAATGTGCCTCAGTTTCTTCCAGTTCTCAACTATTGATCAAGTTCTTTTGGAACTCCTCACTTTTGAAACATTTTTCTTTTCTTTCTTTCTTTTTTTTTTTTTTTGCAACAGAGCATTTTTCTTATTTTAGACAGTCTCATAAACATCTTTAGAGAAGGCAAAACTTGAATGGGAATTACAGGAGGTTTTTTTTGTTTTTTTTTTAACTTGGCTTCAAATATTAGGGTCAAATGTATAAATCCTTAGAAAGGCCAGGGGAGGTTTTGAGATATGATTCACTGCTTTGTTTTCTGGAGGTACTTACAGATACTAAATCCATCAGTATCTTTAAAAGGGATATGCTCATCTAACAACTATTTAATAGTAAGTCTGTATTTACTAAATTATGTTTCATTATGAACAACCTTTATCAGATGTATTGCATAGTAAAGTCAAGAGTATAGTAACTAGTGTAATATAGATAATATAGTAAAGATAGTATTTTGTTAGTAAAGTACACAACTTTGCTATGCAATAAATACTATAGTATAGTAGATATTTACACTATAGTAAAACTGTATGGTAAAGTTGGTAGTATTGATAGTACAGTCAAAATAAACATACTTCCTCTTTTGTCTAAATTTTACATTCCATTACAATGCCATTTAAAGTGTATTTTTTAAAACAATCTTTAAAAATTTCTCAGTCAGAGAAAGGCTTCTCAAAACCATTTGGATTGCCAAAGGTATTGGAGAAAGGACAGGAAGACAGGCCATGGCACTGATAGTAGTATAAATAGCACTGTGCGTGTGGAAAGAAGATTCAGGAGAAGTATCAAGATATGGAGATAGATGAGATATAATATAAAAGAAGAGATTTTACCCTTTATCTCATAAGACCTGAGAGTTTTCTTTAGCAGGTAACTTTGAAAAATAAATAACGCCCACATTAAGATTTAAGTTCTTTCATTCATGGATATTTTTCGTTTGTAGGTACATTTATTTGTAATTGTTTCCCTTTTTTAGAGTCTATAGATGCTAAGTTTAACAGCATCAATATACCTGGTGTCATTCTATCACCTAAAAATTGGAGAATCGATGTCAAAGTGCAATAAACCAAAAATTTGAGCATAGTTATTGGCCTTTTGTAACAGAGAGCTGTTAATGGTAGCTCAATGGTTATAACATTTCACTGTGTATGCCCAGCAAACACTAGTCTGAAATAAAGTCTCTCTGAACAATAAAGAGTTCTGTATACCATTGTCCATCATAAAGATGGCTGCTAGTCATCACTGTTGTAATATTTTTAGCCTGGCCACAGATATCCTCTCTGTGATGATCCTGATTGCATTTGTTTTAAAGTCTACATTATAGACCCAAATCCTAGTGTTCCATCCTGATTATACATCATACTCTCCCTGTTTCCTGAAGCATTTTGACCAAACAGCAAGACCTAGAAATTTAAAACTCCCTGGACCAACCGAAGATTGCTGGTCATTTGTCTGCATTCCAGCTAAGCTTACATAGAAGGAAAGATGACTGTTTTCCATTTCTTAAGTCTCGTGTGCCTAGTGAATCAAAACACCAGTTTGTGAGAAAAACAAAATTAATGACCACGAAACACACAAGTCTCACTGTATCCATAACTATTAATCTAAAGAACTGGTTAAAAAAGACAGATCCTATAGGAAGACAGACTTAGTCTTTACTGAACAAATAAGGCAGAAAGGTTTCAAAGATGCTCTTGAAGCAGGTATCTGTGCCCTCTGAATCTTGCTCTGATGAATGCAATTATTTTGAATTTGCATCTACAAACAACCATTTATACAGAAGGTGTCTATTAGTCCATCTCTGGATTAGTTTGCCTCTTTGCAACAGATGGATCTTAATCAAATAAGAAAGATAATTTAAGCTTAATGAGCCTCTTGCTTCGCTGGGCGGGGGAGTGAGGAGGTGGGGTTTAGGTGAATGCTGGTTAGCCTTCAGTGCCCTGCCAATGTTCTCAAAGACAGGACAAAATGACTGTGGTTTTGGCATGCAGGGGCCAGCTTGCTCAGGAAATTGTGGTATGTACAAAACAAAGCACATAAACAAACTCTCCATCCAGGAAGCTGAGTTTAACAATTGCCTCATTAACAAGATCCAGAGAAGGACAGGAAAAGCGGGGGAAGCCAATAGCTGATGATTATACAGTGCTAGACAGACGAAGCCCTTCAGCTTCCCCCAAACAATCCCTGTAGTGTGGATTTGACAAAGTGGCACATTTAAGAGGGAACTCTCTCGCCATCAATGGGAGTCAGGCATACCCATATCTGAGGGCCAAATTCAGTCCCTGGAACTTGACTTTATCAGTAGACACAAGACAGAGGATAAGGCAGCGACATCCACAGAGAATTAATTAAGAGCAAAAGCGACTTCCAGTGAATGTAATCAATAGTCTGAGCACTGATCTACATATCAACCACCATTGGTTCTCCCTTTCTATTTCTTTTAAGTTGTTTACACTAAGGTGCTCTTATAGCTACTACTTCAATAGAGATTTATTTGCCACTTGGTCTCATTGAAATTACATATGAGTATTTTCATATTGTGTCATACAAAATACACCCTTAAAGACCAAACATCCTGATGCCAGTTTAAGTTTCTGAATGGCTGAAATCTTTTGGGGTAGAATTTCATCATGGATAATTTATGAGCTTGGCTTTCTCCCTGCACATTTCTCCAGTTTCATATGGGAGGTATGTTCATATAAACCTGAATTCAGAATTGCCAGAGTCCACACCCAAATTTATCTTCACTGGTTAATTTTGTTCTATTTCCTTTTAAAATTATCCCTTATGAACATACCATAAAACCCCTTGCTAATTATTGCAGTGTAGCTTGCAAACACAAAATACTGGTTTAACACAACCTTTCCAGCAATAGCATTTGTTTCTTATATCTGTCTCAACCCCTCCCCCACCCAACACACATATCCAAAACATATTGCAGTTCCCCTTTTGAAACCAATGAAAACAATCATATAATTTTTATATTGCTTTCATTCCTGCTGGGCAATAGTACAGGTGTCATTACCTTCATTTTTCAGAGGCTTACCAGGGACATCATTTCTCAAGACCAGGTTCTTGGTTAAATCCTTTAGCAAAGATTCTTATTTCTTCTTGAATCTGTGCTTTGTGCAAATCTCTCCTAAGCAGTACTGAGACCAGAGTAACTTGTCCGTCGTCAGTTTTGACTCTGGCTTTGCAATTGACTCTAGCCCCAGCAATTCAATAGCGGCCTTTATTGCTTAAGGAAAATAGGAAATTCTGCCTCCTGGACATAAACATGTGGATTTTCTATGTCCAGGACCAAAAGGGTAAAAGGGGCAGATTTTACCAAAATTTCCTTAAGAATGAAAGTCTCACTTTTAACACATATGGATTATCCGCATGTATAATGCTTTGCTCATGAATCACATTTTAGGAGTCTACATGTGAACAATTTTGGTTTGCCATTCGGGTCGAATTTTACAGACCTTACTTACACCACACTCCCTTTGCAACGGGTGAGAGTGTGGCTTGAGTAAGCACCATAAAATCGGAGCCCAACTTCCCTCTGATCATGACTGCATTTATAAATAGATGTGATTACAAAGTTAACACCAAATACAACCTCAGGGTAATCTAAGATATAATGATGCCATAATAAATGAAACATTGAAATGGAAAAAAGAGTGGTTTGCAAGGAGGAGGTTGATGTCTTCTTACTCAGAAACTAGCAGGCAGGCATACTTTAAAAAAATAATGATAAAATGTAGAATTATTACTGACATAATGAAAGCCTAGGGTTTAGTGGGCAAAAAAAGTTGATGAGATAGAGAAGCATATGTTACCCATGTTTTAGGCCCACTGGAAGCAGCTAGTGTTCAACCAGTTTGGTTTTTATATGGCCTTAAAAGATATACATTAACTGTGACTAAGTACTCTAAAATAAAATAAAATAAAAATTACCTGATCGTTGACCAAAAAATATGAAATGGAGAAAAAGAACACAAACAAACATACCATGTTCACAAACAAAACAAAATAATTCTCTCAGGGACATCAGGGAAGGTGGAATACTATAACAACACATGTTCTATTGTTATACTATTCCACCCACCTTAATGAGGAACCCTTGGGCGTTGCTACTCCATAGCCTTTCGAATCCAGATTTCCTCCCACTTTCATCGTGTCACACGGCTTTCGCTGCTCAATGTATTCATTCATTGTGGACTCCAGGAGGAAGGCAAATTTGCCCTTGGATTTGCGGACACGAGCTACTCCCTCAGCTGTAGTCCTAGTGAACACTGACGGCTCTGCTGATCGCATGTAGGTCCACATCTTTTCATACACTGCTATTTTTGATCTCTGGAGGAAATTAAAATAAAATTAAATACAGGAAAGAAGGGAACAACATGTTAATAGTGATAGAACTAAGATAAGGATAAAAGTTTTTAATACCTTTTCATTGCCCTCTAAGTCCAATCTACCATAATAACATTACTGTTTTACAATTAGAAAACTACCTTTTATAACTATTTAAGAAAATCGCTGAAATTACATTTAAAAAGTGATCTTTGAAGGGGCTGACATCTCTTGTCATAATAACTATCTTAATTGCTTAATGAACAATTTATTATTTTTAAATGCAGAATGCCATAAAGAGAGTTAAATATTTAAAATCATGTTTTGGATCAACACACATGGTAAACTTGAAAAGGACCAGGCAAGATTTAATTTTAGCTTTGTAAAATACCTTTTAACGCTGTACTTACTTGATTTATCAAATAAAGAAAGTTGTTATATTGTTTTATTTTTATCTTTTCTCATGCCTCAAAGTTTTTTTTTCTTTTTTAATTATTACTTTTTATTGTGAAATACACATTTTTTAGAATTAGTTTCAGCTGTACAACACAGTGCAATAGTTATATATATGTATATATAGTCACTTATAGTTGACATACAATATTATACAACATCAGCTTCGGATGTACAGTGCAGTGATCAAGCCTCTACCTCATCCGTGATGCGGTCTCCCTAGCAAGACATGTGACCATGTGACACCCTATGAAATATTTACAACATTATTAATTATATTCCTCAAACTGTCTTTCATATCCCTGGGGCAATATGGTAGTTAACTATTTGTGCTGTCTAATCCCTTCCCCTTCTCCCTCATCCCCACCCCCTCCCAACTAGCAACCATCAGTTGTTCCTCTATTTCTCAGACCATCATGCCTCAAAGTTTTGATGGAAACCATTTTAATAAGATGTATACAAAAAGTGGAGTGTATAGCAAGTCTTAGTTGAGCACCAAAGAAGGAGAAGAAATCACTGTAGTTTACAAACCAAATATCCATAACACAAGAATCAAACTCTAGGTCCACTGAAATATTTTTAGACTTTTTCTAACAAAATCTCCAAATGAAACATACATTAAATTTTAGAGAGATGTGATTCCTGTTTTGCCACTTTATATTTTGGAGCGTCAGTAATTATAATCCTTTGATTTCAGCCAAGAAACTCATTTATTTTTGTCCATTTGGGCTCTATCTACATTCCTCCCACTACTTAATTTATCCAGATCCTTTTGCTGGTATCTGCATTCATATTAGAATTTTTTCATCCACATAGACATTTTAAATGTGAAAATACGTCCAAATGAACTCATATTCCCCGAAGGATATATTTAATAAGAGAAAAGCCTGACTCCTGTTTGAAGTTTGATAACACAATGTCATATACACAGACTTTTATACAGATTCTGTTGGGTGCATGTGTGTTTAGGTAATGACAGATTACTTCTGGCTGCAGAAATCCTCCCATTAGGAAACTCTGTGCCAACACTAGAATTCAGATGCAAAGGTTCTATGTATTTTCAGGACAAGGAGTATCTAGATTCACACCCTCAGTCATGGGATCCTCTAGGGAGGCTGTGTTGTCAGGCTTCATTCATTCCAGCTTTAATAATTGAGTTCTCTCCAGAGAATTAACCCTTCCATTGTCTGAGTTCCAATCTTTGAAAATGATAAACTCTCTGGGTTACTTGATAGAGATTGTCCTTAAACATCTATTCTGATAATGTCTACTTACAGAAGTGTTGGTAAAACACCATCCTTTAGGCATATAATGACTTTTAAAAATATATTGATAATTTGATAGTTTCACCTAAAATGATATAATAGAATTCCACATATATTGCATACCTCACTATGTATACTAAGTTGAAAACAGAAGAAATAAAATCTATCTGTGTATTATTTATTTGAAATATTTTTTTGAGATCATGTTAACTTGACAATTTTTTAGTTACTCTTCAGTATCTTATTAAAGGAATAGGGAACAGCTAAATAAAACTAACATAGCAAAATTGGAAAAAATTATTTCTAGGGTTTGGTAATTATGAAGATAATTTAACTATAAAATGTAACAATATTAAAGCAAATAATTTCTTTTTAAAGGAATAAAGTATCTTTAGACTGTTGATATTTTTTAGAAGACTATTCCCATAATATTAATGTGAGGAAAATTACTGCTGCATATGTCTAAATATATTGAATTACACACACCTTAAGTGTAAAAGAAGTTGAATTAATTCCCGTAAAATCCAGAAGAAAGAGGAATCCATAGTGTAGTTATGCTAAACATAGCAGGCCTTAAGTGTTATAGAAATGGTAAAATACAGACTCCCAGTGGAAAATAGAGGAAAGAGAAAAGCAACTTTTTTGGAAAAAAAATTTACATGATTTGTCACTATGTTAATATTTATAAATTCTGATTTAAAGGGGCACATCTTTAAGATCACATCCACATGGTGAAGAGGGTAAATGAGGAGATTCAAGAAATAAAGGGCTGAAAATAATATCCCTGTACCTTATCTGTGACTACAAGAGGGTGTTTGCTAAGAAGTGAAGGCAAGCAAATCTTTATAAATTTGATGAGACAGGCTAAAATGAGGACATTTCTTTAGACCCAGAAAGCTTATAAATAAATATTCTGATAATGGAAGTTTTAAGTCCCTACAAGCTTCAACTGTGGCATTTGCTTAAAGATCAGGTTTGGGGAGTAAATATACTTAAGGTAATAAGCAGAGTCATTATTTTTTTGAAAATAAAAATTAATCTCAGATTTATTTGTTTCATCTTTACTGTGAGACTCAATGCATAGGAAACTATCTGATATAAAGCATTATTTTATTAACTTAAAACAAGTTTTTAAATGTGCTGTCTTTTTAATTTCTCAAAAGTTAAATATTTCACTTTTAATAGAACATATGTACAAATGACATTGATTATAGTTAATATTTACATTGTTATCAGGTAAATTATCTCCAATTTCTGGAAGCTTACACAACAAGACATGTTCTAATAAGAACTCATCAATGCATTGCTAGTTGATAATATTATAAGCCGTGAGATAGTAATCCACCTCATTTATGCATTCATGATTTCACTGATGACTTGAAACAGTAATAGGATAAAATCTATACTGAAGTGAAAATCAGTGTGTTCAAATCAGGCGTGTAATAATGTAAAAATACCTAAAGAGAAAGGCTGTCATTAAGTGACAAGTGTAGACTTTCTTTAAATACCTCTATATTTATACTTAACAAGGTGCCCTGAGCATGAAACATACCGAGTTTCATGGGACAAAACCAAGGCAACGACTGAATTCAGGTGTAATTTCCCCCCATGGCCTCATTCTTTTTGCAGTTGGTTCTAACTGTGACATGTTTTGAAGTGCAGAGTATAGGTCACTGCCTGAGGCAGTTGAGTGGAGCTCATAGATGTACCGTTATTGTGTTCCTGCGAGGAAACGTTTTTTGACAGGCACAAAAATACCCTTCACATTCTGTTTCCTCAACCTGTTAGAGAAATGGTTTATTTAAATCAGGTCATCATCTTTGGGAGAAGAGGAAGAACACAGGGAAGGAAATTAGTGAGATTTTTATCAGAGAACCCAAATTTATGCAATCCTGAAAGTGTTCTAGCAGGGAAAATTATTTTCTTGGCCCATTAAGGTTCTGCAACAATAAATACCTATGCTTATAAAACTCTTTCAATTTAAAAAGTACAGTTGGGTGGGAGAGAAAGGACATGAGGCCTGGTTAGTGCTTAGCTTATGTGAAAGGCTCTGTAAATCTAGGAAGCAACTTTCTTTATTCCTATATTTCTTGTCAATATATTCTGTTATCTATCTCACCAGGTTTTAGAACTTGAGCAGTTTTTTAAAACTCTATAAAGATTAGAAATAAACATTTTCAGTGTGCTTGATGACAAAGAGCTTTACAGGGAGTTATTTTTGAATTTTTTTTTTGGAGAATCAGCGTGCCATTTCTCTCTTCATCGCTCAAGGCAGAAAATTAGCTTTCTTCACATGAAAATCAATCATCATTTTTTTCAGTCAGATGCAACTGATAACACAAACCTGTATTCTGTTTTGATGCATATAGGTAATGATTTTTAGGCAAAGTTACTAAATTTTACCTACTTACTTTTGGGTAGAAACAGTTACAAGCTTACAGATTTCCAGCAAGCTACTGAAATTACGCTAAAATGTGTTAGAGCAATATGTGTCCATTATTAATGGTGCATTCAAAAAGTTAAAAGTTTTGCTTTATTGACTTTATCCACAGAATATTGTTAATAAAATTTATTGGCATGACTATTATACTTTTAGAAAAATCTACAAATACTAATTAACTTATAATTTTTATGTTATCTTTAGCAGGTAAACTTCACACTGTTGACAATTGTTCATTGTCTGGTGTCTTTTTTAAACAACACCCAGGGATGGGTTTGACTGAGTTTTTGAGTGATTTCTTTTGATTTAGTATTATGTAAACATTTGTAATATATAAGGATATTACAATTTTTAAGGCTAGCTTAAGGAGTAGCACATTTTGTTGTATTTAATTTCCAAAGTGAGAAAATGATAAATACATATATTTAAAATGGAAGTATAACCTCTCAAGTACTGTATATAAGCATGAAACTTTAAATGTCTATCATTATTTTTACACCAAAGCTTAGGAAATAAGTGAAATATGTCCTGTCTTCCAAACTATTAAACATCTAGTCTTTAAGCAATTGAAATTAAATACAAAATGTCTTCATAATTACCTAGTTAAATATTTGTAAAAATGTTATCCTGATTTCTTTTGAATTTTTTGGTTCTGAAGTCAGAAAATGAACCCTTATCTCTGATCAAACAGTATCAAATGTATATGTCTGGCTTTAAGTAGAACCGGTGTAAAAGAAATTCACTGATCAAAAAAAATTCATCTTCATAATGAAACAAACAACTGGAAACACAAAAAACAACAACAAAAATACCTGCCATCCTAATGGCAAGCCAAAGGGATAATATCCATATGTGAAATGCAATTATATCAGTTTGAACAAATTTTATCTGCAAAAGCAGAGGATTAGCGCAAACAAAATACCATACAATAGGTGTCCAAAACTTAATAATTTTTGTTATCGTTATCTTGAGAGAAAGCAAAAAGCAAATACATTGCTTTGAAATCCATTGTTACAGAATAGATTATAGAATAATATACCTCATATAGAGAGTATAACCTGCAATTAAGTTTTTTGGTTTTAAATGCAGCAAGTTAAATGTATTTTTATAAAAAGCCTTGCTTTCATTTTTATGCTCCTAGCACCAAAGCATACATAAATCCAGTCTTGCCAGATGCAGTATCATCATAGCATTATCAGTATTGAAATATTTTGGATACATTATGTTATGAAGTTGTTTTAATTACCTTTTAGCTGTTACTCTTCCTTAGGAAGGGTCCCTCTTGCATTGTGAATAATTCAATTCATTTTGCAAATTAAAGTGATTATAAAATCCACATAAAAATATTAGTATTAAACACAGCAGTTACCCTTGAGTTTGCAAAAACCTAGAGTGGTTAGAGGCCATAATATAATTGTTGGCAAAATAGACTGAATTTCAAAATTATGAACATTTCATTGTTAGTTTTTCCCTTAACTTACTCTGAAGAATTCTTTTGTTGATCCTGAATCCAGTGTTCCATAGGCAATTTCTGTTTGTTTGGCCAAGTCTTCTGCACTTTCTATGGGGGAGACCATTCGCTCAACAGTCAGGAAAGCAGCGAGGTTAGCAGTGTAAGATGATATAATGATGAGTGTAAAGAACCACCAAACACCTCCAACAATTCGACCTGAGAGGGATCTAAACATGGATAAGATAATGCACATTTTCCTTTCTCTAACCAAATAGAGAAAGAAAAGAAATACCATGTATTCTTAAAAAAATTGCAATATCATTTTATTGACAGATAGTCAACTCAAGAATGATTCTAGCATTTCTGTATAGTTTGATGTCTTTTATGCTATATCGAATGTATAAATTCCACTGAAAATATGAAAAAGTTTGTTGTTTAATTGGCAGAAATGTGGAACTTAATGCCTTCCCTTTTGGTACAGAAGAGGAATACTTACTTAAATTCATTGATACCTTCCCCCTTTTACATTTTAGCATCTCTGAAATGAGAATGCAACCTATCATTGAGATAAAACACAGTACCATGGTTTAATTGACAGGATTGTTTCTCTCTCTATTTTATGTGGTACATAAAATAGCAATACATCTTAACAGTGTGTGAGGCCTTAGATTTGATATAAGTTGGTGGATACCTTCTGAGAGAACTTGTTTTTACTTTCAGTCAGAGCCAGGATGGATGGGTCATACGCCAAAGTGGGGCTAGATCAAATGATGTTCTAGGATTGGTCTCAAAGTGATCATAGTTGATCATTTTTTTTATATTCCATTTCTTATCTGAGTAGAGGATGAGTTATGTCCTAAGGCATCTTCACCTATTAGTATAAAAATGTTCTCTCTCTCACTGCCAACATGAGACCAGTGTGTGCCTTGTCAATAGGCAGCAACAGCATTAAAAACTGATGCTGAATCTCAAAAAAAAAAAAAAGGTACTCTCTTTACCCTTTTTGTGGCTATCAGGGATGTGTGGGCACAGAGGAAAAGTGAGAATGGAATGAATAAAAACTTCAGTTTATATTCATGATTGATCTCACTCATTAAAACCATCAAACTGTTTAAATTCCTGTGACAAATTATTTCTAAACATTTTTTAATATGAGGACATTTCTCATGTTTTCCATGACATTTCTAGCTTTAAAACGCTCCCTTCTTAATTACTGTTGTATACATAACACCTGTTGGTTTTAACTTAGTATTGCTTAATCCTGGTTTTAAAAACCATTACTTGATTTTCTTTGATTTCATTTCATTAATTGAGAGTTGTTGATTTAGATTCCCATGTCATTGGAATTTAAGCGCATGTATAGATTCCTTGGGTCTTAAGAAACACAAACTGCATTGTGGACAAATGTTGTTGTTGTTTTTTTTGAGAAAGCGTACATTTCTTTTAAAAATCCATAAATTTGTGACGCTACTACAAATCACTATTTAAATTCAATTCCTGGTTTCTCCTGCCTTCAGTTACTTTTTGTATGGGAGAAATTGGTATTGCTTTTTCTGCAACAGGAGATTGGCTGCATTTTTGGCAAACAAAACTGAAAACTGTCTTTGTGGCATTCAAAGATAGTGAGCCATGACTTCACAGATATTGAAAAACATCTCTATAAAACTAACAGTATATTTACATCGCTAATGCTGCCTATTGCTTAGTTTGTTATGTGTTATATAGAAATAATGTATACCTGGTACCTACTATAGTGACTCAGGTTTTAAGTAACTCTATGGCAAAAAAATCCCCTTTAAGCTACATGGAATGTAAATCAAGCTCAAAATTAATTATTAAAAATTAAGAAGAGCAACAATAAGAAAAAAAAATTGATTTTGAAAAAGAGACTAAATGAAAATGAATTCCTGTTCTTACAATTTAGATTTTAATTTCCATGTGTCAAACCATTGAAGGAAATGTTAATACTAAGTCATTTTTGAGAATTCTGATGGCTTGCATATGGTACTTTTCCATTGGGATGTCTTCCCATTTTGTGCTAACTTGGAGAAATTTGGTTATGAATATACTGAGATTAATGGGGGAACTGCAAGTTTTTTTTCTGTGTTTCAAGCAATGCTCTGCCTCCAGGAAAAGAACATGTAGAGAGATAGTCTGCACAACACTTAGAATTAGCAGGGAATTGGTGAAGAACTTAAAGAGTTTTGAAACTGACCTGGGTGAAATGTCACATCCTTGCTGCATAAAAGCACCCAGGGAAAACCAGAGGCTGTTAAAGATGCCGAACTCATTGGGAGGCTGGTCGCTGGGTCCTTCCTTTCCGTCCTCTGGCTCTTCTGTGTGCCACTCATAGGGACTAAACCTACTAACTAGGAACAAGACCACGCTGACACCAATGTAGGCAAAGACTATGCACATCCAAATCTCATAGGCCAGAGGATCCAAGAAGGAAAACACTCCTGGTTTAGATTTCTGAGGCTTTTTGATCATGATAGATATGCCCAAACTCATGAAGGGCTTAGAGAAGTCAATGACCTCCTCTCGGACCAAAGTGATTGTCAGAGGGGCAATAGCAATCTCTGCTTTCTATAAGAGAAAAGACACATGAAAACACATAGGTTAATGGATTTTGTGAAGCCATCAGCCTGGACTGATCCACTCAAAGCTAACCAGTGATGCATTTGTTCTACAATTTATCATTTTTTTTTTGAAATGCCAACGAGTAAGGCAAGTGATAAATACAAAGATAAACAGTTTATTTGTTTTCATAATACATCATGTAAATTGCACAAAATATTTTTATTAGTGATAGTAATTAGATAAGAGGAAGAGAAACAGAAAAAGAATAGACAAGCAAAAATAATGAACTCAAATAACTGTATTGGTCTCTAAGGATCTAGGACAGTGCAGAGAAGAGGAGGAAACTTAATAGTCTTTCCATATGACTGAATTTCTGAATTTCTTGGCCAGGAATGCTGCTATTTTGCAGTCTTTTCTGATTCATTTGAAATGTTGCCACCAATTCATTACTTGGCCATCCCTTAATATTATGAATTGCAAATTTCAAATAGCCCTTTCTTTTTTATTCTTTTCCGGTTATGAGAAAACCTATCATAAAGTCTGTGTTTGTAAGATAGAAGAAACCCGTTGTTTGACAACATTTTCCAATTCAGCGCACACACAAAAATCTGGAAATTGGCATTTGTTTCTTTCTATTCACATTCTTTGATTTTCCACTTTCAGTTGCTAAAAAATGATTTTGAAAAACAGTGGATTCAATTCTCAGATATTATGATCATAAGACATCATCAGCTTCCGTTTTCATTCTGTGATTTTGAACTATTTTTCTGAGACTGTTTTCATTATCTCTAAAACGAGGACACTTCCTTCCCTGTTTAACTGATTTTATTATTGTGGTTATCTATTTAAAAAGCCTTAGTAAAATAACAGTGAGTGTTTATTGAGGTTTTATGTGTCTAATGCTAAATTAAATATTTTAAATGGTCTCTCATTTAACACTTATAATGATCTTATGTTTATCATTGTTTTATAGATGCTGAAACTGAGAGTCAAGTGAGTTTTACGCATCATGGCAGCTCTGTGGTTTGACATTGTGCTTCTTCCATTAAATCATGCCATCTCTACAATCAAATGAAATAAAGTGTGGTAAAAAACTGTTACATGATCTACAAATGAAAAAAAATGTTTTTTTTTATTATTTATTGTAGAAGAAAAAAATACTTGGCATTAAAATGGAATCTGAAACAAACCCAGACATACATCTCCTTACATAGAGGCTGCCACTCTTAATTTTACTCCTGGTTTGATACAATGGCCGGCAGCTTGATACAAGGGCAACTGGAGGGTTAGCATCATGGGAAATGTACCCTGGCTGTCATGCTATGTCCTCTGGGTGACCGAGAATTAACTGTATTTGCCTTCAAGTGGGATATATTTAGTTCACATCATAAACACCCACATATATAAAAGACAATCATTGCTGGGAGGTTACTATTTTCCCTGTAGTTATTATTATTTGTATAATTTTCATTATGTAAGTGATATATGAACTAGCTAAAGGAAAATTAATACACAAAAACAGGACCAGAAAATTAGGAAAATTTATCTCCATTCTCTTCATCTACTCATTTTTTTTGGTTTATGTATGCCATACTAGACATTGTTTTATATATAATACTTTTCTTATTTTAAATTTCTTTTCTCAAAAGAATATGATGAACTCATTTTCATTGCAAAAGAAAAATAAGTTTTAATGAATGCAAATGTTTTATTATGTGAAAGTATCAAAATATACTCAATTAATTTATTATTCAGGGGAAATTTGTATTGTTCCCAGTTTTATACAATTTATGATATTAATGATGTGAACATTCTTTGAAGACAAATCTTTGCACATGTCTTAATTATTTAAGATAAATTTCTAGAAATGGGATGGCTGGTCTAAATGGTAGCAATCTTTTTAATGCTAATGATATGCTTTGCCCAACTTTTCTCCCACTAATTTGCTATATGGGAAATTAGATCCCATTGCATTAAATTGAATTTGTTTTTATTAAACAAATAGCTACTTTTACTTCTTTTATGTATTACCTGTCAGAATCTGCCCCTACTTTCCGTATGGGTATTAATCATGGATACTTACTAATTTGTAAGTGCTTATAAGTACATTCAAAATATTCTCTTATTTTCCATATATGTTGCAAATGTTTTCCCTATTCATCAATTGTTTTGTTTACATAACCTAGTTCATGGTATTTCATTGCAGTATATACATTTTAAATTTTGTTGAAGCCATATAAAATTACTTTGTGTTTCCAGCTTTTCGTTTCATGCTTTAAAAAGCCCTTCTCATATCATATGATCAATCTAATTATATACATTTTATTCTAGTACCTGTAATTTCTCTGTAAATTATTTGGTATATTGCATGATGACGTGTTACAAACTTGTTAATTTTCCAAGTAGTTGTCTTGCTGCCCAACAGGAAAAAGTGAATAACGCATCCTTTCACTGATTTGAAATGCCACCTTTCACATACTACATTGTTCTGTGTAATAGCTTCTGAATTTTTTATTTATGCAAGTTACCACTAATGAGAGTCAAATCCTTAAAAGGAAAGAAACATGAAGAGAAATAAAGGGGCCCCCACTACTAAATAGATGCAATGGAAGACAAACGTTGAATGAAGGCAGTGACAGCAAGCAATATTCAATGAGGAAACTTTTGAAGTTTGGAATTTGTGTTTTGAAAGAAACCAGTTAACAGGAAGAATATATCTGGGCTTTCTCTACTAACATTGGACACGTTGTGTGTGCTTGTTCCATTACCTCTCAGCAATTTCCCAAATTAAGTATAAAATGTCTCCTGCAAGAACTTGATAATATTTGAATTCTTGAGGATCTCTGGAGTGAGGTTCATGAACCAGCATTTTAAGACATATCACAGGTAATTCTGGTGCTTGTAGGCTATGGAACATACTTTGAGAAATATTCCCGTTGTTGAAAATGCACACACACAAGTATGACAGGGACCAGGAGAAGGCCCTGGAGCAGCATACCACAGAAGATCATAGAATGGACTTGCTGCAGTGACTATGTGTGATAGGCAGAAAAGACCTGAGAGGGAAAGGGAGGTTCTGAGCTTCCAGTCACCATCAGGTGGTGTGCTGAGACCACACGCGAGTGTTTCACAGATAATCGATTCTTAATAATTGCAGCAACAAAGTTGGCAAAGAATAAATTAAAAAAAAATGGATTCCAAGTTAATCATTTTGTTGTCAAATAGTCTTTGTTGGGTAGAAGAGAGCAAGCATATGGAGTTTTACGTAGGGTCCTGGAAACTGGGCATTCATGTAAGTGTTAGCAATGAGAAAGAAAAAAAAAAGTTGAGAAATAAGTACAGACTTTGCAGACACCAGAATAGAAAATACCAAATCTGCAGAACGTGTAAGAGACATGGAAGAAGATTTCTTTTTTTGGGAAAAAAGTAGACAACTCAAGTGGCAGAAATTGGGATATTTAAATCCTCTCGGATATTGGCTGATGAATGAATATAATGAGTATTAATAATCACTTTTTTATCTTCTTTCTCTGAGAACTGCTGACTTTGGGACTTTCTGTTATTGAGACATGTGTATTACAGATATAATTTTTTTGTTGTTAATTAAGCTACTCTCTTCATATCACTTGTTTTCATTATTTAAACAATATTTCCCTAATAAAACATGGTCAGAAGCCTTGCAAAGGCAAGAGCCTGGGATGCCCTATGGGTAGGGACTCCAGAGGAGAGATATGTAACAAATCCCTTAGCAAGAAACTCAGGTTAGTTTCCCATCCATAACTAATTGGTAATCTAGGTATGATTTTTTTGGGATGAAATACGCAATAGTTTTTTCTGAAGGAAATGAATTACTGTAGTTCTAATGTTTTGGCTAATGTTCACATTTAAAATTGGCTTATTGCACCAAAAATTTTAAATATTACCAAGGAACATAAGCTTTAGGAACCCTTTTCCTTTGGAACTTAAGGCTCAATATCAAACTGCTGATGAACCCTGTGGTAAAATATAATATTTTCTGACTTTTTACAACTACAATTTTTCTACCCATTTAGGACATCTAGCTAGTCAGCAGCTCTTTCAAATAGATATAAAACTAAGTGATTGCTGTTTATTTTTATTTATTTATTTATTTATTTATTTATTTATTTATTTATTTATTTAGCTGAGCCATCCTGTCTCCTGTGGGCAGCTCAGCGGCAGCTCAGCTGGGGCTGGGACTTGAACTGTGATTGCTCTTTAACGCCAAAAAATTTCCTCTTGCTGTTGAGGTTAGAGCTACTATACTGGATGGTGTGGAGAACGTTCATTGCTTCATGGTCCAAAACGCAGGATGCAGAATCATGAAACTATTGAATTGAAATTCTGACTTGGAAAGTAAGCTCCTATATAAGACTTCATTTATGTTCTAAATTGTTCTACCTTTATTCTTTACTGGGAGAGGTTGACTCTCATGTTTATTTCAAAGGGATTAATTAGTCAGACTATGCTTTGAAGATAACATTTGTGAAATGTGAATTGGCTTGTAGGGAATTTCAGAATATATTTCAAGTGTATGTGGCTTTTATTATCTATTACTCAATGAATAGAGATTATTATTCTAGGTTTGGTTTCTTTTGGAAATATCATACCATCACTAGCATTTGGTTTGATTTCAGTACTTTGCAGTGGTAGCTGAAGAAAGCAATCTTGTTCTAATTCAGACAGAAATGTCTACATTGAATGCCCTTGGCTATGAATGTGTACACTCGATATCTAGTGATAGTAAAAAGAAGGGCATGACATGCTTTCATATGAGGCCTACTGTGGAATAAATTCTAGCTTTTAAGTTTTGCTACATATGAAAAAATGATGGCATTATATGAAGTTTAAATTTACCATGTTCAGCAGAATTGTAAGAATGTTACATTATTGGTGATATTTTATAGATGCTAAAGTAGTTTAGTGATTACTTATTTTATAGATGCTAAAGTAGTTTAGTGATTACTTCACCAGTTACTTAGAAGACATTTACCAGTAATTACAAGCAACAGGGATATAAATAACTAACTCAAATGAGGTCTAACTTTATGTTATTGAAAGAAATCTGTTCCTACAACTATCAAATAGCAGATTACTAATGGATTTGTTTTGTAGTTTCCAAAACAACATGTCTATGACATAGAAGAATTAAGCTTAAGAAAGCGATCATCACAGAGGCTGAAGTTAGTGTTTGTTTTTAAAATAAGACATCATATTCTGAATTTTTATCTCTTTCCTGATTTTGAAGTTATCAAATATGTTTCTCTCATTATTTGGCAATTGCATTATTAATGAAATAGAGAAACAGTTGAACATGATATATTAACTGCAAATTTAAAAAACAGTAATAGACATTTAAAAATCAATATGTGCCCAAGTAAAAAAAAAGTTTCATGTTTATGTTAAGTAAATTCTTCAATAAATTGATTTGCTTACCCCATAAACAAGTTCTCCTACCATCCCATTCCAGATTTTTGTGTCTGCATCCCTTGCTCCATATTTTCCATCAGGGACAATGGCAATTTTATACTTGATACCAATATGTTTTGCAATTTCAGATGCCAAATCTACACAGTATCCTTCATACTTGTCATTTCCTTCAAACATTTCGTGATTTTTCTTGTACATAACATATGGGGATTCCTATAATGAGAGAAGTAAAACTGTAAAGGAGAAATGATAAAACATTCAAAAATCTTTATGTAATTTCAGTTCCACAATTTGACAAAAAGAGTATTTAGTATTAGTATACACACTGATTTTAGTGTGGCTAGAAATCAATAATAAAACAGATGAATACAGAGGGTGCCAAAAAATGTATACACATTTTAAGAAAGGAAAAAACTACTAAAATTGTAATACTTAATATACACCAATAACAAAACATGAACACAAATTACGTTTGAATTCTGCAATTACAAGAGGTGCTCAAAGTGGTTACCATCAGTGTCCAGACACTTCTGATTATGGTAAACTACTGCTTGAGCAATGTTGACCAAAATGTCCACTTGTATACATATTTTTGGCATCCTTGGTATATAAATAAATATGCTTAGAGTTATATTAAATTGCTTTACATTGGATACTAAACATGAAATATTTAAAATAATTTTCTTTTGAGTGATTATTACATAGCTAGCACTGTAATTGTGACAGGAAATATATCCATTAATAACTGTCTAGAAAAGCATAGTTATCATCTTTGGCAATGAAATTATTAGTTCCAAAATATTTCATGAAGTTAAAGGCTATTTAGTGTCAGCTTCATGTAATGAAAGACTCATTCAAGGTCACAGATCTCCATATTCTGCATCTTTTTTAGCCACAATTGTGACCTCCTTTAGGGAAAGAGCTATTAATAGATCTTTTTTTTTTTTTTTTTTTTGCTTTCCAGCATTTAGCAAGATGCCTTTCTCAGAGCGGTCACTAGCAAGTTCAAAGAAGAAATGAATGCATATTTAAAATTGTATATACTTCTTTGCCTTAAATTGGCTTTCCTAAAATTGTCCAATATTTTGGCTCTAATTAAGGTTGTGTTCCATGGATTTTTATTCTATTATACAATATGTCCCCAATGGAAGCTAATACTTTTCCCCCAAATGTGACAATCCCACACTTCAAGTGATAGTCCCATTTTTGAAGCAAGTAAGATGAAAAATAGAATGAAGAATTATTTTGAAAATCCATATAGAATGAAAAAGTTTACTAGTAGCTAATAACTGGACAGTTTTCAGTTAAAGTGCACTCATGTGAACACACACACACACACACACACACACACACACACACACACACACACACCCCTCCTTAATAAAACCATTTAAAGGCAGTGAAATAGACATGTTAGCAAAAAAGCATTTGATTTTATAAATAGAAACTAAAGCCACCAACTAAAGACAGGCCTGGTGAACATGCAATACATACAGAACTCCTGGTCACACCCCAGATATTTTAGTCATTTGCACACAAGAAATGACCATTTTTTGCCACAATGTCATTGAGATCATGTATTTATATTTTATAAAATTGTACAGTAACATTCATTTAGTCATTTCAATACAAATCTTTTCTTTTATCCCAGCAAATTGGTAATTGGGGAAGTTGAATTTGCTCTTGGAAGTCTGGGTTAGAAGGTAATTTACTTTGTATAACGTGGCAGTCTACACTAATTCTGTTTTTTGTTTTAAAGTGCTTTGTAAATGTAGAAAGTACTTTTAAAAACATTGTAAGAATATAAATTACATGGTATGTGATTTTCTCACAGAGATGCCCTAAATATCTCTATTGTGGGCAATTGTCCAGTATTGGTTCTTGCATTATTTTCTTAAATCCTGCTTTAAGTTGACATGAATAAGTGACCCAGAAACCTCTCACTTGTCCTTTGATTTTGATGAATATTCTTTTTTTTTTTTTAATGATATGAGCAGCTTTTACTGATTGCAACCGGAAGTGAAAGAGGAGGGGATAAGACAGCTCCAACACCTGGGGTGGCTTCACAGACTCGATCGCCACCCTCCAAAAGCAGAATTTGATGAATATTCTAGCACTGGACTTGGGTAAGGAAAGTTTATCCATCTATAAGGGCTGGCTGAGTGGCTCAGTTGGTTAAGAGCTTGCTCAAGAGTGTGACCTCTAGAGCAACAGGGTCGCCGGTTCGATTTCTGGCCCTAGCTGAGCTACTGCTGCTGAGCAGCCAACTGGTGGCAAGATGGCTCAGCTAAAAAAATAAATAAATAAAAAAATAAGGCAACTAATTAACTCTTCTTTAAGTAGATGAAAATTATTAGTTTACAGAAAGCATTCTCTAAGTATAAAGAGTTTTGCAAATTATAAATGTAGTTATGAAAATTGGCAAGTTTTGCAAAGCACTGTTAATTTCTAAGATACGCTGTAAAATATTATAGTTAAAATGAGCTAATCTTTTCATTTTCTCTTCTTTTCTTGTAATATCTAATAAAACATGCAAGAATATGTAGAGAAAAAGCAAGAATCACACATTTATAAAATACTTAACATTCTAATTGAAATGGCTATATAGCTATACCTATAACTATTGGTATAACAAACTTAGTTTTTCAAACGGAGTATAGCTAAGGTTCACATTTGGTACTAAGGTTGAAGATCTATTCTAAAGTGTCTGGACTATTTGAACACTTATGAATTTTAGCTCTTTCTCTCTCTCTCTCTCTCTCTCTCTCTCTCTCTCTCTCTCTATATATATATATATATATATATAAAACCATATTATTGTAGCTTGTGTGCAGAAGTTTCTCTAGGTAGTATTATCACCTAATTTGCTAAATTCCCTCTACATTGTTTTGTGAACAATTTACTTTATTAAAAGCTATACTTTTATTATTTACTCAAACATTTATTAAGCACCCACTGTGTGCCAGGCAGTTTGCTGGGAGCTAGGGGTACAAAAATACATAAACTATGCCTTTGTCCTCTTGTGATTAAATAAGGTTAAAAACTCTTTTTAATAAGGGTAAAGGAGTAAGAGTGGTGGGGGACAATAATAAAATATAGTAGTGAAAAATAATAATAGCTATTACTTATTTAGTGCTTCCTCTATGACAGGCACAATGCTAAGTTCTTTAATTGTGCCTTTTCATTTACTTTTCACACTGACGTTTTGAGGTAGGCATTTCTCATTTTGCAGATGGAAAATTTAAGACTGAGAGAGGTTAAGCAAATTGTTCAATTTCACAGAACTAGCAGTAGCAGCAGTTGAACCTATATTTTGAAATATCTAAAAATCTTTGAAGCTATTTTTGCATATGTCAAAATATGTACAACTATTTGAGATTGTATATGATTTAACAAGAAAAGGGACAAGATTACAGTAGTGAATTTCTGTATTTTTAATTAATGAAATTCTTTATACAAAATCTTGAGCAGACAATGTAGGATAAAATCTTTCCATATCTCCTCATAGTGTCTGGTACAGATAAGACACTCACTAAATGTAAAGATTTTTTGTTGTATCAATGCTTCCTAAATAGGACTATCATGGCAAAGTAATAATATTAGAACTTTTGATTCAGATCGTCAAAAGAAAAGTAGATATTAACAAGTGCTAGGTCATGTCTTCTGAAACAGGCATATGTGTATATAAGTAAAAAAATAGTGTCTTCTTTCAATTTTTTCAATTTCCTTTCTGGACAGCGGGGATCTGTCATGTCTTTGTTTTCCTGCCAAACAAACCAATAAAGGCTAGCAAAACCTTGAGGTAACTGAAGATGTTGATTGGAAGTTTAACTGAGCTTTTTGTACAACCAGGGATGTGCACAGTTATTGAGATTTGGATGAGTGGTGCATGCAGCATAAGAGAAATAAGATGATCATACTCAGGGAGATGGAAGAACCAAGGGAGAAAAAGGCTAGGCTTTTCTTAAACATAAGCTCTTATGGTTGCTCAGCTCTGCCCAGTTTCTTTGAGTGGGTCTCATTTTCCTGTTCCAAATGAGTAGCAAATCCTCTACACTTTCTCAGCCTCCTCATTTGCCCCATCCCCAGTCTGGCAATTTGTCCACAGGTAGCCCTTCAAACACTGCATAGGTGAGCAGATTTAATACAAAGTTTTGGGGCTAGAATGAGTGAAGAAAATGCCAAATCTTTTCAAAGTAATACAACATGAGTCCTAGCCAATCATTAAGGGGATTTGTGAGGGCATCTTTGGTAAGCAGGCTTTTGGAGTCTCAGGTGTTCAATTGTGAATAAAAATGGAATAATCAGAGGAGGTGGAATATAATCGCTTACTTCTGCTTTAAGAATATAATCTGCCATCTTTATTATCAACTACTGTGCCCTGTGGGACAATAATATCCTAGAAGTTATTTTAAATGCATTACTTCTTAGTGATTATGAGTTTATTACTACAATTTCCATAAGGGATGATGCTCTACAGCTGCTCTGCTATTTCAGGAAAGAAATCAATCTCTGTCTAAAGCCGTTATATTAGGACTTGCTTATGAAAATGTTTCTGTAAATGAATTAAGATGATTTTCAATCAATAAAGTATCATTCTCCTACTGAGAAAAAATTTTTGGATTTTTTATATAATCCAAATGTGAAATTGTTGAAATAGATACTTATTAGAAAGGCTTTAAGATTTTTCTTAACATCACAAATATATATAATCATTACAATTACTATTGAAAACAGTTAAAATAGTAAAATTGGTATTATCAACCAAAGTTATTTGATATTTGCTTCCCTCTGAAGAATCTTAATAGATGTAGATAATTTATCTCATGGGTAAAATTCTTAAAAGTGGAAATTAAGATGTTATTATTCAATTCAGAAAAAAATGAGTACATTTAATAGGTGCACAATTTTAAGTTTATTTTAAATAACTTATTTAAAAACTAATTGATTATAAGCTCTTTGAAGGCAGGTTAATAATAAAAGTATAGCTATATATGGGGATATTAGTATTTGGTACAAATAAAAATAAATATATCTGTATTTTCTGTATATATGTACATATACATATATTACATATAAATATGCATGTGTAGATTGTTGTATATGCACATGTATCTACATATAGTGCATCTACAAATTCAAACATCTCATAAAAACTATAAAAAATAACCTCTACAAAGATCAAGTGTGATAAGTAAAATTGCTTTTAGTAACATAAGTCTAACACTGTAGTGAAAATACATCTAGATTTATGGCAAATTTTCCTAAAGGATTGTTATGTTTATAAGATGGTAAGAAATACTTTCTTAGTTGATTAATGCATCATAGGCATCATTTAACTTCAGTAGTAAAGATTTTGGGGAAAATGGGGTTGGCTGAGATATCACTGTATCATCCCTCCTTTCCCAGAAAGTTCAGCAGCCAAATAAAGTGAGATTACAGAGGAAAACACCACCTTCTCTTCCTCCAAGTTCTCCTGAAAACAGCCTTTTCCTCAGTTGCTGCCCTTGTCCAAACTACATGGCACAGATTTGGCTTCCTTGGGTTGTTTACAGAAAGTATTATTTTGAAGTAGAAAGTTAAATCAGTATGGTCACAGTCTCGTAAGTTTTACAGAGTTTGTAAAATTTTTAGTGACCAAGATGTAAAGATAAAAAATGATGATCACCTGAATCCAAGACTTTAGACCTTTCAACTTTGTAGTCATGATTCTCATTTGATGATATTGTCAATTTTACTTTTTATTTAAGTTTAGTAAGTTATTTTCAGTATGACTATATTCAGGTAGAATAAATAAATAATTAAAATGAAGATCACATTATAAATACACACCACCATTATAAAAAATAAATTTCAACAGTGAAAAAAGCTAAAGCTACATTTTAAGAATGATAGCTAACATATTTATTATGTTACTTGTTTGCTTTCTCTCACTAGAATATAAGTTTAACTGAGTGCAGGATTTTTGTCTGTTTTGTTCTCTTACATATCCCGAAATTTTAACCGTGCCTAGCACATAGCAGACGCTTAATAAATATTTATGAATGAATAAATGAATTTATCAATCAATTTTATTTAACAATAGCATATATCATTACAATGTATCAACATATAAATAACAACATACACAAAGGAAAGACAAACGGGAGAACAGCAATGTCATATCAATTCAATCAAAATAAATGATTTCCAGTGCCACAACACTCTCAGCCTTCTTGTGTCTAGATATCTGTCTTGCACATATTACAATGTCTAACCAACTCCATCTGTGTTGGGAATTTTCAAGTGAATTTGGTGGGTTATTACATGCAGGTGTTAATATCTCATTCATCTACAGGGAACCATATTTCTTTCAAAATGAAAGAGGTGGTAGAGATGTCATACGTCCCAAGCTACCATTTTCAATAAAAGCAAACAAGGAACACTCAGGGAAAGGGTTCTGGTATGTTTCCTTTTCTTTTTGAATTACTGAATCATTATGCAGTTGCAAAAACCAGAGCATTATTTATATGAAGATTACATTTTTATACAAAAGACAGATCCTAGTGTTGCACTATTTTGATAGCAAAAATATTGATTATATCATTGTCAAACAACAGATAACTTTACAGAATATTCTTTATGCATATAGGAAACTGTTGGGTTTTTCAATCATTTTTACTTATTTTTTGATAGCATGCTTCCTGAAGACCAGCCATGCTTGCAAAATTGACTCAATATTTTGGTTTTAAGAATTATATCTCCAACCCCTTTAAATAACAGGGATGGAAAGGTGATTCTCTACATTATACCTATAATGCACATTAAAACACTTTATTTGACACAGAACAGGCAAAACTTCAAAAAAATCTTCAAAGAAAACAACTGTATATTCAGAAAACAAGGACACAGAATTCATAGACATTTACTTTTAGAAAATCTATGCTTGGAATTAAGAGTGATAGAATTCCATCATTTACATACAATGACCTTATTTCAAGATATGGGGACTGATACGTCAGAATTGCCAAGTGATTCTTTTTCAACATCTATGTGTTTTCTTGAGAAAGATGAGGATTAATTCTTCTTTTGTTCTAGGTTCTCAGAAAAGTCACAGAACTTTAAAAAAATTTTTTTCTGGTAGTCCAGAGTTGGTCATCCAAGAAGAATCCCACATGAAAAATTAGCTTAAGTTTACTACACAGGAGAACAATACTTGAGCCTTAGTTAGGAATAGTCGAACACCGTGGAACTCATTTCTTTCTTGATCAATTTCTTAAAATAGGATTCTTCATCAGAGGCTGAAAAGAGGAGGACTGTACTGAAGTATGACTTTCCATTACTGTGTCTTTTTTAGGAAAAGAAATATATATATATATTGCTTTTCAAGTCCCATGCAAACATTACACAATTAAGTTAGAAGGTATATATTTTCCACTCTTACACAAAAACTATTGTTGGTTGGTTTGCATTCTAAAATCATAAACTTCTGATCAAAGCTTGGCAGATTAACATTAAATTGCTGGCTGTGCAACACAGATAAAACTAATTGCAACATATGAAAGCTTCTCTCTGGCATTTCATTCTTTGACCTCAATGTCAAAATTTTGGAAATAAGTTGACATTACTAAAACCTAAAACTAAAATTATGTAAGCTAAAAACTAAATTACATAAAATACCTCTACTTATTTAGAGAATGGGCTTCACAGATAATTAAATATATGTTCTGCCTATTAAGACAGTGAACTGAAGATGTATAACTTTAAATCAGATAGAAAAGGTCACCGATTGTTGATCTCCTTTGACTAGCATTGATTCTAAAGGGCATGTTTGACTTTAGAAGAGAAAAATATATAAGATATTCTATTATTTAAATGGTAATTTTATGAAAATCTCTTTCAAAAACCAGCCTTAAAATTTAGAGTATATTTCATTTTATGATATGAATGAATGAAGCAATTATATTTTTCTTAATTCCTAGTAGTTCTATCAATTATATTGTGTATTTATCACTGGTCAATGAGAAAAATAATCGGTGTGAAAAAACTCTTTTTATATTAAAAATAAATATAAAACAAAATTTATTTCTAAAGCATTGAGTTGTATAAAACATATTCATTAAAATCTTCACATTCATATCTCCACTATTATAAACAGATAATGCAAATCATTACCCAATGATTAAACTACCTGGAAATTATAATTTTAAACACCATTAACTACTATTACATTGATGTTTTAAAAAACATAGTAACAACAATAACATGGTGTTTACTACAGTATTTTATGTGATTTGTTGTTGATCTTTTTCATGTTCATTCTTTTGTCCTTTGGAATCTTAGCATTTCATACATTTCCAACTACAGCGTGACAGTTTCAATTTTTAACATCTGAGCATTTTTCTGAGAACAACAATGCAGCAAAAGATAATACAAATGAAAGTACCAAATGTACTCAAAGCTCAGGACAAACCTATTTAAAGTCTGAACAGACTTCTGTGGATCAGAACACCCATGTCACCATTGCTAAGAAGCAGTTTTCACCCTCCCTGTTCACTATAGCTGGGGAATTAAAATTGCCTGTGGACCAAACGGAATAGCATAAAGCACAGACCAAAACTTACCATAATTGTGGTTACAACCACTGTTCTGTTCTCAATAGCTGCTGTGTCATTGCCAAGAGTGGGTACATCTTGAATCAAAACTAATTTATCCATATCATTCCAATAACCAACCTGCCAAATAGAGAAAATTCTTGAAAACACATTTAATTCTTATTGGAACGAGAGATATTAATAAGCAAGCAAATAAAACAAATTTTAAAAGCTGATGAAAAAATGTTTGGAAGTTGTCTTGATTGATGATGAGCCAGTTTTCTTGATGTGAATGATACTGTCTGGTTATATATTTGCAACTTTACAATTTACAATTATGGAGTAGCCACGACATTGGGAATGAGTAATTCAAAAGGAATATGGGTACAGATGGCACAACATTTTATGATGATCCTTTCTTCTAGTGAGATGGACAGGCACCCTCTAAAATTATATGATCTTATCAATAATAGTACAGGTCTTACAGTAAAGGGAACAGCTAGGTTTACAAAGGGGACATTAGAGGATGTTTTCAAGTAAAAATGACCTGTGTATTTTAAAGCAATATAGAAACAATTTTTGGTTTGACACAACCTAGCCCATAGGTAACAGTCTTACCATATCTAAAATGCTAGATATGTCAGAAATTAACATTAGTGAACAAAATTTTCACTTTCAAAGATCACATTTACATTAGTATTTTTTCATTTTTAAATCCTTATATCACTTACTCATTTAGTTGACACAAACTCCTTTCCATTAAATACATTAAGTAATTAGTTAAGCACTTTATAAAGTAGTAAACTACAACGGGGTCTTAAAGGAATGTTAGGGTTCTTTGAATCATGCAGACAATTAAGTAATAGTAATGGCTACCACTTATCAACTGCTTGCTCTGTAACAGGTACTGCTCTCAATGGTTTTTGTTTTTTTTTATAAGCTGAGCCATCCTGCCACCTGTTGGCAGCTCAGTGCTGCTCAGCTCTGGCTGAGAATTGAACCACTGTTGCTCAGAACTCAAACTTTGAGTGAGCTCTTAATCAACGGAGTCATTTAGCAGGCCCTCAATGCTTTTTAAATATGAATCTTAAAGTTTATACACACAGCAAATATAAAGGTATGTGTAATTATTATCTATACTTTGGAGATGAGGACCCATATTAGAATGTTAAATAAGTTGCACAAAGTTATACTCCACTGGGGCCAGAATTCAAAACTCAGGTCTATATGACACCGAATCCATATACTTCGTTATTATGCTACACAGTCTCCCCAAATCGGTGTTTATGTAACGATTGCCACACTTCTTTCTTGAATTTCTGGATGCAGTTGATAAAACTCATGTCTCCAATGAAATGTATGTAATAGCTCACTGCACTGGTCTGTTTACTATTTATTCTAATATGTTTTAGAAGTCTCTTGCTTCCCTCAAGTTTCTTAACTGTGTTAGTATTTGTAAACATATTAAAATAAAGTAAGCATTACCATGTCAGAGTCACTATATTATTCATAAATATTGTATATATAATTCAATAACAATAGATAGAGAAAAAAATTTTCATTAATATGGCTTGCTATACTTCTTAGTTTGATCTGAAATTATGAATATATATGAATTTAGCAGTTCTTATCTTCTTTTTAGTTTTATTTTTGTAATATTAGTTTCAGGTGTACAAAACAACATAATTAGACATTTGCACCCCTCACAAAGTGATAACCCTCCCTCCCCAAGTCTACTATCCCTCTGATATCGTGTATAGCTGTTACAATACCATTGACTGTATTCCCTATACTGTGCTTGAATTCAACAGTTATTTTCAATTGTCTATGTGAATTCATTTGTAGCTAACATTTATTTAATAATTTAGTGATTAATTTATGAACAACTATGCCTTTGAGACCTATTGTCTTCCAATTCCTACATGTACTTAATAAATAAAACCAACATGTCAGTTGCTTCCTGTTAATTCTCCTTTCCACATGACAGTTATATGACATGAAAATGGGTTTTAGAGTTTAGCACTCCATTAAGGTATAGCCACCTCCAGATCTCAGCAGCCCATTCTCTGGGAAAGGCCATTTTTCTTTATTAATGAGTTCTCACAACAGAAAAACCATGAAGCTGGGATACATTCTGGAGAGCCCTCATGTGTTGACCAGACAATGACATTTTGCATTAAAAACAGCCTGTGGGTTCACAACTATCTACCCCCCAAAAGATAAATGATTTAGAAGTACTGAAAAATTAAAATAATAAGCAAAAATATATCTAATTGTATCTATGTGCCTTATATTTACTTGCAATTCTTGTTAAAAAAGAAAGCCATGGTTTGTGATGTCAGACCAATTAATGGTAGCTCTCATGGGGCATGGACTTATTGGGAAGTAAGGTGATATGGAATGGGTAGTGATACAGCAGTCACTTCCTAAAGAAAGGAGTCTAAAAGTTGGGACCTAGAGCTTCACGTGACACGGAGTTTCTCTCTCTAATTCTTCACAACATTTTACAATTTGCTAAGAACTTTTCGCATGCCTGATCTCATTTAACTAGATAGGGAACGAGGCATTTTTCCTAGAGACAGAAATTGGGTGAAAAATAGTTTTGTAATGCTAGAGCAAAAATATGGAAGCATTTAAATCACTGAACTGAGTATGTCAGAAAATGATTTGTCTTCTTTGGACTGCTAAAGGTGAATCGTGTGCAAATCTAACCATAATATAATGTAAGAGTAAATATCTCTGTATTTACGGTGGACTTTGCCTGCAGGGTAGGGATTGGGGAGCTGTGTGGAACCCCTGTTTTACTCAGCGTTGGTTCCTTGGAAAGCCGATTTGACCAGACCTGTTCTGAAAAACATGGCTTAATTCCAGCCCTAAAGAGGAGCCTTACAGGCCCTTGGACTGATAATACTCATATTTCTTAGCAGTAAAGAGAATGGGCTCTGGAGCTGGGTAAGCACTGGTTTCCACGGCAGCTCCATCTTTTCTAGCTGAACATCCATGGGCAGGTTATTTAGTTTCTCTAAGCCTTACTGTTCTCTTCTACAAAATGAGAAAAAAAAATACATCTTACTTTCTGGTTGTTGTGAAGATTAAATATAAAAATGCACATCAATTTTTCCATTACTCTCTAGCATACAACCTGCTTTCAATAAATATAATTTTTACAACTAAGAATTCCTTAAACTATGGAAGCCTGGTCCTAGGTGTTCCCTCTGGGAGTCACCAGAATAATAAGATTCCACCATAGTTAGGGACTGGGACTTCAGAAAGATCTTTGTGGCTTCTGCTCAATGAGACTCTCAATCAGCTTTCCTGTTACGGAAGTCAAACTAATGGATTGACGCTGATCTATTTTCACAGACAGCTCCCTTGCTGGCAAGTGTTCAATTTATAAGAACGATTGCTCGGGTTTGAGACATATTGCTGAGTCTCACCAGCAGAGTGTTTCTCATGGTAGCTCATTTTTAAGTTTAATATTCCTGACGGAATGCCCAAGTTGATTGTTGCCATAGAAAAATAAGATAGATGAGTCTACACCATTTTATACTTCATATTTCTTTTACGAGTCTTAGACGAATGTCAGCTGAGTGTGAAGATGTACTGTTCATCACTCCCCCAACTTACTCTTTACCTTTCATCTCAAAAAAGCTTAATTTTTGTTAACCATCATGGTTCAATAGACTGTGAAAAGATTCAGTACTATAAATAGCCCACTTGATACTACCACTAGTTATTGCCAGTTTCTTTTTTCCATTATTCTTTCTTTTTCATACAGATAATTTTACATTTTATACTTACTGTTTTGTGAAATATGGAATTGTCTTTTGCATTTTAGAAAGCTTCTGCTTAAATGACTAATTTTGCAAGGTCTGGTTTATGGCAAGAAGGCATGCCTGTTTTACCTTTGTCCTCCAGTTAGCCAATGTTTCTGGGGGCCTGTGGAGTATTCTGTCTGCTCCACAGCTAGCAGGGGGACTTTGCTCATAAAGAGCTTCTTTCTTTCTTGTTGCTGTGTGCTGATAAAGTGAGTAAAGTCGGGGTTTACATGGAACCCCCTAAATTTCTTCTTAAGAGCATGTCTCAGTTCCTTGCTGCAGGCAGTGTCCCTAGGGTAGCCCATCATGCAGCTTTGCTTCCCAGCGGTTGTCCATCTCCTGCTGTACCTGATGTGAATCAGGTAGGCTCCAGGTTACCCTGTTTTAGTTGGCAGCATGCACTCAAGGAGATGCTACTAAGAGGCTGAAAAGCTACAGATCATTTTCATGGCAGTCCCAACTCTCTCCTTCCCACAAATATGCAGAAGCACACCCTATGAAAGACTGGAGCAAAACACAACTCAGAAAGCCTTTGCCATTTTCCCTGTATGACTTAAATTTTGTCCTTCCTCCAACTTGCCTTCAGGTTCTTGCCTCTTTCATTTCTACCTATCCAAACTCCAATTTCATGGCTAACTTTAAATCTCACCTCCTCCATGCAGCCTTCCTTGGTTTTCTTTCCTCTAGCTGGAAGTGAGTTCTTCTTTTTTTAGAATTTCCACACGCCTTCTCTTTAATTATCAGATGGAACTTATTCTATTCTACCTTACTAGAAAATAAACTCTTTTAGAAAAGAGCCTACTCAGGTGAGGTAATGATGTAGAAAGTTTCTGGAGTTAGACAAATGTGAATTTAAAATCTTTGCTTTGTTATTTACAGGCCTTAAACAAGTAATCATGACATATTGGACCAAAATATTCTCATTGGAAAAAGGGATATAATAGTACTCACATTATAGTTTGTTGTAAGGATTAAATGTCATGAAGTCCAGTGCTTGGGACATAGCAAGTATTTCATAAGTTATAGCTATCATTATTATATTAAAGCAGGAAAGCATATTTGGGAAAGATTTTTTAAACAGCCAAGTGATGAAACAAATAGAGTTTTTAGATAAATAACTTGAACATCTCTTTCCTTGAGCATTCTAGTTAATCCTAGAGAAATGGACTGTTAAAAATTATGTGTTAATTATATATGTATAAAATGTATATAGCTAATTATGGTGATGGGATTAAATGGCTTCTTTATATAAAGTACTTTTTGGATGTTGGGAAGACTGCTCATAGGCCTTGTCAGATTATAAAACCAGTAGAATTAACTTCTGAAATCCAAGAATCTGGCATGAACATCTTCCTGAATAACCTCTCCAGCCCCTTAATTGGAGTTTCTTAGGTATTTCTCTCATTCCCCAGCCTACTAGTAATCTTAATAATCTTATCTTCTATCTACTCTCTCCTTTGCTCATTTGAATGTTTATTTGCTTACTTCAAGAACACTCAGCCTGTTCTAAATATGTCCACCCATTAGAAATAGTTTTCTTTGTTTGCTCTCATAAGTGATTACATGGACGTATGTATTTTACCTGCACTGTGTGCTTTCGTGAAGAATAAATTTTGTTTTGTGAGATTCCTTTTGCTAAGCCTTTAATAAAAATATTGCTTTCACTTTGGACAAAGGATATAAACAGTGTATAAATTAATCTGTTTCAGCTTTGGCACACGATTAAATATCAATTATATTACATAAGACCTTATTTCAACACAGATTACCAAGAAAGTATATTGTATTTTGCCATGTATAATGTGCCCAAACTTTTAGGGAAAAAAATTTTTATTTTAATTCACATTTTTATTTGTTTACATTTAGGTACTTGTTTTTTGTATTATAAAGGAATTTTAGCATTTATTTTTTAACATATTATGGTACAAGAAATTTTATGTAACAAATAATTACAAAACACAAGAACAGATACAAGGTACAAAAAATTTTATGTACCAGTAGCAAATTTACAATATTGATGCATCATAGAAGGCCAAGAATTCTTCGTTGTTGCAAGTTTGTCGTAAGTTCAACAAAACCAATTATTGTATTCCAGGGTATTATTTTGCATATGGATATCATTATTGATTTCTAGAGCTACACTTTTAACTCTAGAATGCATAAATAAAAGAATTAAAAACATGTATGTCGATACTGAATTAGTACTATGCACATCTTTATTTTTCCCTCACAAATTTGGGCGAAAAAGTACGTATTATGCACGGCAAAATATGGTATTTGTAAGTACATGCAATAAAAAAATATAGACTATGCAGTTACCTTCCACCTGTAAGCCTTTAAAAATGTCAAATGCAAAGTTCAAGTGTGGCTCACCTTTCTAGGTCCTGTGCTCTTTAGCTCAAACACATCCATTGTGTAATTGACCCTACGTCCATAGTGGTCAAATTGAACATTCCCTGTCAACCCTTGAATTCGAACCTATGAATGAAAAAGAAAATCCAAACATGTATTCATTTACTGTTTCACGTACAGAAATCTCAGCTTCATCTGCTAGGCTTTCTCCCACACATGAGTGTGGGACTAAACTATAAGCAACTCACTAAAGCAACCATGGGGCATTTGAGCTACTGAGATAGAATCTGAAATAGGAATATCAAAGGAATATATAAGCAATTTTACTATACAAGATGAATATATTTCATTTGTTTTTTATATTATAAGGTTTCCATTGTAACTGACAAAATACTTCCTCAATACTGAAGTATTATTTATAGGAATGGAAATATGGTTTGTTTATAGTTACTTTTTAGTTTTATCTATAGATCCACATAATAAATAGCCCTGATAACCACATCAGATCATGTTTCTCCTTGCTAACATTAAAATTAAGATATAAGAAGTTCTAAAATATAAATATTTTGAAAATATTCAACTGTATTTTATTCCAAATTTCATTTTATTCATTTTTACTTATGTTCTGAACCCATAGCATTTCAGAACATTTAACATGTAATTTAAAAAATGTAAACATATTACAGTAAATATTCTAAAAGTAATAAATAAATTATTTTATCCAAGATCTGCTGAGGTTGTCATTACTAGTGTTTGCCAAATATTTCTGGTTCTTCCCCATCTGGGCCCAAGGTTAAGTTTGTACTTCCTGAACCCCTTGTGGATAGTGAGGCCTATATGACTGTTTTCTGACAAATGAGTTGTAAATAAATGTGATGAGTGTCACTATTGGGCTAGAGTTTAATTACCAATCTGAAAACTCCCACAACTTTATTTCCCTTTGTGGTGTTCAAAATGGTAGCTGCTCTGTCAGCCTGGGTCTCTGAGTGGTTACAATAAGCAGAGTGCCTCTGCTAATCCAGTGTGTGTGAGTGAGAAATACTCTTCTATGGTTTTAAGCCACTGGAACTTGGCGTTGTTTATTACTACAACATAACCTAGTTTATCCTGACTACGCATCTACATAAGATATAAACACTAGTATTCTACCCAGTCTTCTCTTTAGAAATGTCACAAAAATGATAAAGACTTCATATATATTAAAATGGCAATTGCAATATATATTTATTCTCAGATAAATTATTCTGTTTTCTTGAGTATCTACTTAAGCAGGACTGTAAAATAAACTGAACTTAAATAAAATTGTGAGTTACCTGTTTGAGTGTCCTCTCCATGTCAATCCCTTGGCCCCATGGAGCAGCAGGATTTGCCAGACAATCCCCAGCATTTCCTCTCCTTGAAATATCAATTTTCTGCCTTCTAAGATTTCGGAAAGTTTCAGCCATAACAAGGACTCCATCATAAGTCAGAGCAGATGTGTACTAACAAAGTGAAAGTAATTATAATGGTAAGTGTTAAAATCTTTCAATCACCAGGAATAGTCTGGAGGTTCCGTGGATTTATGACATGAAGCACCATCCTGTCTAAAAGGCAGTTAAATTACTGAGAATTAATTGACTCTAGCTTCAGAAATTTCAATTATCACTTGACTACAAAGACTGTATACCAAATTTTATTATTCTGATTTAAAAAAGAGGCACACATGCTGAAAAACAGAGATTCTAATGCACAGTTGTTCAGCGGTTAGGAGAAGGGAAAGCTTTAAGTGAGATCGTTTCATTGCAATCAAGTCAAAACAGTAAAGTGTAAAAAGCTAAAATGCAGTGTTGCTGCCACAATCTGCCTTGTATGTGGCCTGTCACTGCAGCTGAGCTCCAGGAGAGCTGGGATGTCTCACTCTTTTCCTCCAAAATGCCTACCAGGGCTCTCTGAGATTTAATACATGTTTATTGACATGAAGCGTATACCTCTGTTCAGCTCCTCAGAAGAATGAATGGGACTGTCTATTGTTACTCACATACTGGATATCAGAAATAACATCTACTTTTTTAACAAATGTGTTTGCACCAGTCGCTGTGCGAAATAAGAATGAGTATTGTTATGTCTACGCCTGCTGAGTGTGTTCAGGAAGGTAAAGCCATTTCTGTAAGTTTCCATTGTAACCTAGGATCAAAGTCGAGAAGTGAGATATAGACTGTCTGCTTTGTGATAACCGCCCAATGCTTCTCTCTGAGAAAAGACAGAGTCCTCATGAAAAGATTATTAAGGTTAGGAGAGGAAGTAAGGAAAAAACTGAGAAGAAAAATGTAATTTGTCTAGGGAGAAACAAACAAACAAGCACAGGGAATACTTGTAGACTTTGATTAGAGAATTCTTAAGCACGTGGAAAACATGGCATGATTTTTTTTGAAGCATGGCAGAGCATCAACTGCCAATCACAACAAAAAACTATTACTAGTTATCTCTCTCAGGAAGTCTATAGGGTCAATTCCATATGATTAACACATTCTAAGACTGTACTAGGGGTAATTTTGTGCTGTAGAGTATGGACAATGATATCCTTGATTTGCTACTTATAAACAAAAAAAATCATTTGAAATACAAATTGTAGAAAGTAAACTCAGGCAGTATGACTATTAGGCATAGCAGCCAGCATTTCAGAGAAGAGAACTAAAATGTGGATAAGATCATGAATATAAATTCTAACAAAGAGACTTTCAATGGTAGAGAACTTCATTAAAAAAGCTTCATCAGAAAGATGTAAATGAGACATGTAAATAGAGAGCCTTGCTATATATTCTTCAAGGACATGACAAAAAAGGCTTAGGGACAGACATACACCCTCACAATTGGAATGGGGTGGCTGAAGGAAATGAAGGTGCTGTTAAGCAAGGTGACAAACCAAAGATGAATATACCTCCAGAACTACCTGGAGCAACACATCTTTGAGTAGAGAAAACCTTCAAATCATCTTCTGGTAAGGCAAGAAAATAAAAATGAGAAATAAAGTAGAACTTGCTAAAGATATATAGGGCAAGAGAAAAATGCTAGTATTTTAGGATCAAGAGATGAAAACGGAAAGATATTGTTGCTTTTTCAAGAGGGAGAAAGAAACTGAGAAGAGACAGCAGCAAAGAGCAAATGTATTTGCTGTGTTTTAAAAAGCTCATTTATTCTTATGAAACAAGTGAACTAGAAAAATGAACAGATCACACAGAATGAAGCAGAGCAAAACCGATGTTCAGCCAGAGTGGCAAAGGCCTTTGTTAGATCATAGAACTGACAGATGGAAAGAAGCAGTAGTTTTAACCTTTAGGCTTTACCTTTTCAAAAGATTTAATTCATTTCCACATGTATTGCTGTACTAAAGTTCAAGAAATCATATTTATGAGCACACACTTCTCGATGGCATCTAGAAAATTCTTTTTTAAATTTTAAATTGGGGAATTGGGGGGAGGGGAACAGCGCTGGGGAATCGGGGGAAGGGGAACAGAAAAGTTGGTGTCATTTTGTTCTTCAGTCTAGTTGTGGGGGACGTTGCTTCACTGGCCCATGTTGGTATTATCATTGCGCTCTTCCCGGGTGAGGCAGATCAGTTGCCAGCCTCTGGATGGCTGCTCACGGTGGCTCTTGGCAGCTCACACAGCCACACATGGTAGCTTATGGCAGCCCACTGCAGCAGGGACTGCAGCCTACGCCATAGCCAGTGACTCACGGCAGCCCAGCTCCAGGTCGAGCTGTTGTTCAGCATCTTAGCTGTAGAGGGCAGTGTCACTGGCCCGCATGTGGGATCCAAACCGGGGCCCTCTGGCGTCCCAAGCCAGCTCTTAACCAACGCGCTACTCAGCCAGCCCTAGAAAATTCTTATTCAATAAACACTATTTTGGGGCAGGGTAAAATTAGATGTTTTAAAGAGTTATTTACTACTTTAACCAGTGATTAGAATGGTGAAATGAATTCAGTTTACCAAGGTCTGTAGATAATAAGACAAAGTTTGGCAGAATCAGCGGGCAGTCACAAGAGTCGGGCCTTGAGAAGGAAGGACTAGGCTAATTCTAACTGCTACTCATAGTTTAACAGGAAATTGGAGGATAGTTTTCAGCTATGAAACACAAAACAGAAAAACCAAATAAAACAAGATAATAATGATTATTTCCTGTGGTCGTTGTGAGGATAAAATTTTATATCAAGTTTGAGAGCTCTTTAAAAAATGTGTTGGACACTGGCTATAAATGGTGAGGACTACAGAGATGAATAATAGATGCTTACTGTCCCAAAGGCATTTGTAAAAGTGAAACAATAAGTAGACAAATCACTATAGTAGGTCCTTGGTGAGAATTACACAATCAAATATGATTCATATTATAAAGGAGAAAGGGATCATATTAACTGGAGGACTAAGAAAAGGCTTCATAGGGAAAGTAGAATTTGAAATCAAAGCTTGGAAAATGGTTGGATTTGGACGGATGGAAATGAAGGTGGAGGACAGCTGCGGTGGAGCAAGAGCACAGGGACTGATAAGGAGTGAAAAAATTTAAGACAGCTCAACTTGTCTGGTCAGAAAGGGAGGAGAGGGACATATAACTGGAAAGACTTGTTAGGCCTACATTGTGGAAAGCCTTTATTCCAGAAGGTTTTTTTTTCTAAACCTTCAAGATCAAAATCACACTTAAAATCTTGGCTAAAATACAAAAGACATCAAATATAATTTAATTAAGTACATTGAATCCTCATTATTTGTGGATGCTGCCTTTGCAAATTTGCTTACTTTCTAAAGTGTGTGACCCCCAAATCATACTGGCGGCTGGTCATTTGCAGACATGTGTAGCATGGTGAAAACCTGAGTCACCCAACATATATTCCCAGCTGCAGTCAAGCAAGGTACCCCTCTGACGTTTTTGTCGGTTTTTTTCTTTTTAAATTTTTATTAAAAATATAGCTAACATACAATATTATATTAGTTTTAGTTATTCAACATTTATATACCTAAAAAATGATCACAATGATAAGTCCAGCAACCATCTGACACTGTACCACACTATCACAATATTATTGACTATATTCCCCATGCTGTACATTACATCCCCGTGACTTATTTGGACCTCTTATTCCCCTTCCCTTTTCCCTGTTTTTTACATTTATCAATTGCAGTTGACATTCAATATTATTTTATATTAATTTCAGGTGTACGGCATAGAGGTTAGACATTTATATAATTTAAGAAGTGATTCCCCATGACTAGTCTAGTACCCACCTCGCACTATACATAGTTATTACCATATCATTGACTATATTCACTATGCTTTACTTTACATTCCTATGACTATTTGTAACTACCAATTTGTACTTCTTAATCCCTTCATCTTTTTCACCTTGCTCCCCAACCCCCACCCATCTATCACTCCAACAAATTTAGTACCCATTTGACACCATACATAGTTATCACAATATTATTGACTATATTCCTTATCTTATACCCTACATGCCCACAACTACTTTGGAGCAACCAATTTGTACTTCTTAATCTCTTTCCCTTATTTCACCCATACCCCCAACACTCCTCCCGTCTGGCAACCATCAAGATGGTTTCTTTATCTATGAGTTTGTTTCTGTTTTATTTGTTAAGTTTGTTTTTTAGATTCTACATATAAGTGAAATCACATTGCATCTGTCTTTCTCTGTCTGACATACATCACTCAGCACAATACCCTCCAGGTCCACCCATGCCACTGTAGATGGCAAGAGTCCATTCCCTTCCCTAGCTGACAATATTCCTTTGCATATATGTAACAAGTACTCTTTATCCATTATCCATTGATAGATGCCCAGGCTGCCTCCACATCTTGGCCATTGTGTACAATGCTGCAATGAACATATGGATTTACATGTCCCTTCAAAAGTAGCTTAGGCTTCTTCAGATAAATATCCGGAAGTGGGATTACTGGGTCCTTCTTTGTCTTTTGCTATAGTCTTTGTTTTAAAGTTTATTTTGTGTGGTATAAGTACTGCTTTTTTTTTTTTAATTTCTATTTTCATGTAATATTTTTTTTCCATCACATTACTTCCTGTCTGTTTGTACCTTTCCATCTGAAGTGCGTTTCTTGTAGGCAGCATATGTAAGAGTTTTGTTTTCTTATCTGTTTAGCCTCCTATGTCTTTTGATTGGGGTATTTAATACATTTACACTGAAAGCAATTGTTATAGATATGTAGTTATTGCCATTTTATTATTCATAATTTTATTTTATTTTTCTGTCTTAAAAAAAGTCCCTCTAACATTCCTGTAATACTGGTTTGATGGTGATGAACTCCTTTAGCTTTTTCTTGCCTGGGAAGCTCTTTACCTGACCTTCAACATTGAACATTTCCTGCCAATCCTTTCTGGCCTGCAAAGGTTCTGTTGAGAAATCAGTTGACAATCTTATGGGAGCTCCCTTATAAGTTACTAGTTGCCTGTCTCTTGCTGCTTTTAGGGTTCTCTCTTTGTCTTTAACCTTTGTCATTTTAATTATAATGTGTGTTGGTGTGGGCCTGTTTGGGTTCATCCTGTTTGGGGCTCTCTGGGCTTCCTGGATTTATATTCTATTTCCTTCACCAGATTAGGAAAGTTTCGGTCATTATTTCTTTAAATAGGTTCACAATCTCTTGCTTTCTCTCTTCTCCTTCTGGTACCTTTATGATGCAAATATTGTTATCCTTGATGTTGTCCCAGAGGTCTCTTAAACTAGTCTCATTTTTTTTAATGCATTTTTTCTTTTTGTTGCTCCAATTAGGTGTTTTCTGCTACTTTGTCTTTCAAATCGCTGATTTGATCCTCTGCTTCATCTAGTCTGCTGGTGATTCCTTCTAATGCATTCTTCAGTTCAGTGATTGTATTCTTCACTTCAAACTGGTCCTTTTTTATGCCTGCAATCTCTTTGTCAAAGTCCTCACTAAGTTCCTTGAACGTCCTTATAACCATTGCTTTGAACTCTGTCTCTGGTAGGTTGTTTGCCCCCATTTTTTTTAGTGTTTTTTTTTCTCAATTTTTCTCCTGTTCTTTCATTTGGGATGCATTTCTTTGTTTCCTAATTTTGGCTGCCTCTCTGTGTTTGTTTCTATGAATTAGGTAGATTTGCTATGTTTCCCAGTCTTGATTGGGTGGCCTTATGTAGTAGGTGTCCTGTGAGGCCCAGTGTCACAGTCTCCCTGGTCACTTGAGCCAAGTGCTCCAGGAGTGTCCCTTGTGTGGGCTGTGTATGTCCTCCTGTTATAGTTGAGCCTTGATCGCTATTGGCACTCATTGGGTGGGATTCACCCTCAGGCTGATTGCTTGTGGGATTTGGCCATGTCCACAGCTTATGGGCTGCTGTGTGAGAGGCTTACCCCACTGAGTGGGATTTGCCCCAGTTGACTCTGGTGCCTGTTGAGTCCACCTTTGTGTATGCCACTTGTGGGGCTAATTGGGCAGTGCTCTGCTGTGGTCTGAAGCCAACCTCCAATGGTCTGAAGTCAACCTCCAAGTATGTAGGTTCTGAGGCCTCTTGGGAGCGTGTCTGGTGCAGGCCCTGGTCAGCCGTTTCCTGTGACCAGCTAGGGGCTACCTGGCAGGAGATATAAAACAATCCATAGTTGTTTGCTGCCTGTGCTAAACCTGGAGGTACATGGTAGAGGCCACGATGCAAACTGAGGATGGTTGCCACCAGGCCTGGGGTAACTCCACGAAAAGCCAGGACACCTGGAGGCCTGCTGTCCCCTGCTGGCCACCTTAAGGTTCAGCCACTGATAAAGCCTCATGCATCATGTGAATTAAATGAGGTAGTGTGTGAGGGAGTCACTAGAGTGGAAAAAGTTTTGGTCACCAGGTTAATGTAGACTCTTGTTTAGTGCCAGTGCTGAGCCTTGAGTGACTCAGCAAAAGTCTCAGAGCACACTGAGGCCAGTAGCCACTCACCTGGGGCTCATGGACTCTGATAGTTTTCCTAGAAAGAATACAGTGCAGGAGGGGCTAGCTGCTTACAGAGAAAGTGCCTCCAGCGGTGAGTGAGTTGGGTGGGGCTGTGTCCCAGCTGAGTCAATAGGGTGGAGAAGTGGAGCTCATCAGGCCAATCAGATTCAGGTTTGGCCTGTGGGGGAGGGTTCAACACAGGAAAGATGGCACCTGTCTGCTGGCTCCATAGGAAGAAGACACCTCACCAGGAAAATGCCCACTGTCCTCCAGTCCTCCCCCTGAAACCACACTCCTCAGTCTGCCCCCTACAAGTCTCTGAGGCCCCCTGAGTCACTGTTCCTTTGCTGGAGCCCAAGGTGAGTGCCTGCGAGTGAGTTTGTGCGTGGGCCATTTAAGAGGATGTCTAGGTTTCCCATAGCCTTCTGTCCCACCCAAACTTCCCAGCACTGGTACTCTGGGCTGGGGAGCCTGGTATTGGGGGCTGGGGTCCCTCAGTCCTCTGGGGAGAACCTCCATGGTCGAGCTATCCTTCCTGATTCTCAACCGCCTCAGGGAGGTTTAGGGCCTCTTGTGTGTCTCTGCCCCTCCTACCAGTTTTGACGTGGCTTCTCCTTTTTGTCTTTATATTTTTAGTTATAGGACTTCTGCTTGGCTGGCCTCCAGATGGTTCTCTCGATTGATTGTTCTGTAATTTAGTTGTAATTTTAATGTGTTCATAGAAGGATGAAGGCACAGTGTTTATCTATTCCACCATCTTGGATTTCCCTGACTTCTTGTTATACTATAAATAAGTGTCCTTTTGTGGTCTACTTAGTGCCAGGTTTTTCAGCTTTGTGCATTTTGTTGATGATTTCACTGTTTAAAATGGCCCAAAAGTGTAGTATCAAACTGGTGTCTAGTGTTCCATGGTGCAAGAAGGCTGTGTTATGTTTTATGGAGAAAATGCATATGTTAGACAAGCTTTATTCAGGCATGAGTGCTGTTTGCCAGGAATTCAATGTTAATGAATCAACAGTGTGTTAAATAAGGTATCTTTAAACAGAAACACAATGTGTTATGTATTGATCAGTTGACAAAATATGACAAGAAGCTTGCAGGACCCCAATCTTGTATTTTGTCAGTATTCACTCATTCAGTGTTCATGGCAACTTTATAGAACATACTACTGTGAATAATGAGAATTGACTGTATATATTGATTAAATGGCTACTGAGTACCTAGCATCATGCTAAGAGCTGTGAAAGATGAAAAAATTATATGTATTTATATATATAAAACAAAGTGCTCAAAGCTGTGGCATACATAAATCTAATTGGAGGTTATCAAATAGGAGACATTGGGATGGGCTAAAGGCAAGACAGGAAAGGACTTATGACAGCAATATGTCCAGATGGGGGGAGCACAATGAACACTGATGACATGTTAATATTATCACTGAAATAAAAAGACGTAACAAGGAGGTACAAAACAGTGCCAAAAAATTTGAAGCCCATTCTAGTTACTAAAGCTCAGAGGGTAACAAGATCTTAAACAGATGGTTTACAGAAGAAATGCTGAGATAAATAGTGGTCTGACAACAGAAGGTGTGAGGAAGGAAGAAATAAGATTGTGTCTCATAAGAAAGAGACAGGCAAGAGAGTCTCTGCATACACTGATGACAGAATGAGAGAAACATGCTGTATAGCAACTTGTCTAGATTGGAAATGTGTTCAAAAGGAAGCTTTACATTCTCTTTGTGTATTAACATTTGATATAATTGAGCTTTTGGGATGATTTATCTCAGAGCCTACTGGAAGGCAAAAGGCAGACTAACAGACAGACTAAAAGACTTCTCAAGGTTCTTTTAATCCTGATGATGATTTGCATCTTGAAAAAATTTTTGGCTTTTTAATATGTTTTCATATATGTTATCTAAGCATGAGAAGTGGTGTAATAGAGTGGACAATGCACTTGTCTAAGACTTAGAGAGCCCATTATTTGGTCCCAGGCATTCCACAGACCTGTTCCTTGACTCAGGGACAGCCAATTAACATACCTGTTTAATCTTGCATTTATTTATTTATTTGAAATTTTATTGGGAACAGTGTGTTTTTCCAGGACCCATCAGCTCCAAGTCAAGTAGTTGTTTCAGTCTAGTTGTGGAAGATGTTTTTCCAGGACCCCTAAGTAGCAAGTCAAGTAGTTGCCTTCAATCTAGATGTAGAAGGTGAAGCTCCTTGGCACATGTGGGGATTGAACTGGCAACCTTGGTGTTATGAGCCTGCATTCTAACCACCTGAGCTAACCAGTGCCCCTAATTTTGCATTTATTAACCTGTGAAGTCAGAGGGTTGAATACAGTGCTTGACACATAGTGAATACTCAATAAATGCTTTCCTTTGAAATTCCATGATTCTATCGAGTGGTGAAGATGGTATGACTAGCCAAATTTGTATATCACAGAATGGAAATTGATATATTATAGTTAGTAGGGAAAGTTTTATAATTAGGAAATGGAAGAATTGAGACCCTATATCCTTAGATTATAGTTTTCTAGGCTTGAATTTCCAAATTACATTTGAAAACTTTTTACTAGAATACACTGTCAGTGAGAGGTTAGTAAAAGTTGTTAAAAATGATGATGCCTTATTATGTAAGAGCACAAAACCAATAGTTGGAGTTTAAGAAACATTATGCCATTATTTACATGATATCCAAGGAAGTCGTCTATCTTTTCAGGTGAGAAAAAAATGTGCTTATTATCTGAAGTTTACCAGCTTCCTTTGCAGATAGATACCAATAACATACTTCTGCAATGCCTATTAGAAAAAATTAAACAACCTGACCTTTTACTATTCATTTGAAGGAAAAATTTTGCAGAAGCATGTACATTTTACATTTTAGCAATTTCCAAATTTATGTATTCATTATAAATCACTTTGCAAATATAGTTTTTATCTGGATAGAATAGTTACCAATGTTGTTCACACTTGAAATGTTTAGTTAAGAAATAAGTTTTAAAGAGCATGCAATTTATTCATGGAAATTCATATATAAAGTAATAATAAGAATAGTAAATGACTTTAGTTAATATCTAATTACTCTTCAGTATAGAAATTTAGAAACTATTAGGGGCTTGTGTAGCACAGTGATAGTGACAAAATGCTTCTGCCCTATGTCATACTATGCCTGACAAAATATTAATTAGAACTGTATCATAAACTTTCTATCTTACATTTAAAAAATACTACAAATACATAAAATAAAAACAAATACCTTTGGAGGAGTCTCAGATCCTGGATATTCTCTCTGATCTAGTTTCTTCCAGCGATCCATTAATTTGGTTACCATAGGTGTATTAAAATCTACCAACTGGAATCCTGTAACATTGGCTCCACCATGTATAAACCTCTCAAGAGAAATATCCTTGAATCCCTATAAAAATCAATATGACAGTTTGTTAAGTTTAGTTCATTGTTATACATTTAAGCTCTTCAATAGTTACTTAAATTAATAACCAATATATACATTTAACTGGATTCCTAATAAAGTGATGACTGGAAATAAGTGGGTGATCCAATTATGCCAGTTTAGTTGTTAAATTTTGTCATTCAAAATCTAATACATGAGAAAAGGATATAAGTGTTTTCAATTCAGTTTAACTTCGTTTAACAAGTGTTACTTAAATGCCTCTGAATGCCTTTTATGAAGCATGGGGGAGTATAAGAAATGAATATAATAACATTGAAAATTCCCTTGTTGAGGACATAATTGCCCTCTGGTATAGATATGTAGAAATGAGTCTTATGTGAAGGTACTATCAACGTATTATGGTTTTCTGAGTCTGTGATGGGTTTCACCTATTTAGGGGGATTCAATTTAATTACAAAGTGGTCTGAAAGCAAATGGAGCCGGTAATTTGAGCCAGGGATGGTAAAAGCTTTGATTACATCAGTCACTATAACCCTCATAGTCCTGGGAAATGGTAGTGGACTAGAAGAGAGCAAGATAGGCCATTCATGGACTCCTGTGTGGTAGGAAAAAAGATACCGTTTGCCAGGTGGAGTGAGGATGCTTGGAAGGAAGGGTGTAATCTCTTTTGGTCCAGAGGTAGTTATCGGAGTTTCAAAAGCTCTGAAAAGTCTCTATATCTATCTATCTATCTATCTATCTATCTATCTATCTATCTATCTATCTATCCATCTATCCATCCATCCATCCATTTGTCATCTATCATCTATCTAGTTTGATTTATACCTTTTTCCCCCCAGTAAGTATTGAAGGTGACTTACAAAAATACATACTCAATACAAAGTGTAAAACAAAAAATTACAAGAAAAGGGCAAAGTCTTATTAGTGGAGTTAATTAATAAAACCAAAGTTATGAGCTCAGAGAAAAGTAAACAACACACATACACACACACAAACACAGGTTTGTACACCTTATTTGCTTGGTCTTTGTTTTCTCGTAGTATTTAGTAAACTTTCTTTTGAAAATGTGAATATGATTCAGTTGTGTTGAGGGAACTAAGGAAAAGGGCTTTGCCTACTTTTTTTTTTTTTGGTGGAAGTAAAATATGCAGCAGTGACCTTACAGTTATGGCAGGAACCAGTGTAGGCCTCAGGCAGAAGAGGAGGAACTGGTGTTACCTATCTTCCTGAATGCGTCTTAGCTGTGTGTTTGGAAACGTCTGTTTGTTGGTTTGTTTGGTTTTTTGTTTGTTTTAAATAACAAATATAATTGTCTTGCTAGCCAATATATGCACATTGCTGTTTGGCTATCTACGAAGAAACAGACCAGGTTATTGGCAACTAAGCTAAGTTGCTTTAGAAAGCCCCAGGAGTATGTATTAATAGCTAGTAGTGACGCTAGGCTCATTATGTACCAAGCACTTTTCTAAGCACGTTACACAGATTATCCATCTAGTTTAGTTCTCATAACAAGGTTATTAGGTATATCTTACTATAAGCCTTATCTTACAAATAAGAAAACCGAGGCTCAGTGAGTTACAGCAAATCTATTCACAACCACCCAGCCAATATGTGTTAGAACCAAGATGACTCTCAAGTTTGCCATTTTTGCCCTATGCTTCTGTGTATTCTTACACAAATATGTGTATTTTTAATTTTAGTATTTATCAGAATGTCCCCAGGAGAGGCAGGATAATAATACTGTAGGAAACAGCCCAGGCTCTGAATCCCACCTCTGTAACTTCCTAGCCTTAGGTTTCCCACATGTACGATGAGAATGACAGTGTAAAAGTAGCTAGCACATCTGGTTTGAATTCAGTAAATGATACCTATTATTAATTAATTCATTCAAAAATATTTATTCCATGCCTATTATGTGCCAGATAATTTGACGGCTCATCAGTAACATTCTCATTTCACTGGGAAAGAAACTAGACACCCGAAAGCAAATCTATGTTTTTGAACTGGGAAAAACACTGTCCATCAATCTCTAGCTAGTAAAATGTCAGTTGTACATTTGTTTGTTTCTACGAGAATATAAGGCAAACCCACAGGCAGGCAAATACTTTCAGTTTTCTAAAAGCCACAATAATTCAACTATTGCATCAGTTGCTAATTGATGACATTATTATTTTCTTTCAGCAGTGGCTGAAATAGAAGGCCTGCCAAGCTTTCTTTCATAGTGTCATCCCACAGCTGCGGCCTTCAGAAATATCATCTGATGTAAAGTCTAACTGATAAATAACAGCCCACATTTCTCTGATTCCATCCTGCTGCTATGCTGAAGGGAAAGGAAAAAAAATATTGCCACACTGGATTATAAACTCCTTTCAGTGATGATCTAAATGAATGGTGGGAGGCCCAGTCAATTTTAGCTATGTCTGTTTGAGTATGGGCAATATTTTTCATTTCATATATATTATATATTTAAATAATTTTACATAAACAATTGATAGGATCTAGACTGTGAAGTAGTTTTCTTGGAAATAGGTACTTCGGTGGCCATTTAGATTTCAGTTTTCACCCAGAGAATACTGTGGAACTGAAAGTCCTGAGCAACATTATAATAAAATTGTAACTCTAAATGGGGTTGGTGGTTAAGTAACTAAGTAAACAATGCCCTTGATGATGGGGGGGAGAGGTGGGGGTAAGGCAGCGGAGAGGCTTCCTGCTTGTGGAAATGGAAATGGACTTTGCAACAACGCTATCATCTCACAGTGGTTGGTGATTTCCTAAGGCAAGCCTGTCTTCCAACTTGCTTTTCTTTTTAATTTCTATTTACAATTCATACATCCTCTGAAGGAAAAGGAAATTTATAATTTACAGGCCTTTGGATAATCTGATGACTATTGATGTGAATCTATGTAGGTCCATCACATCCAAGGTGTTTAATCAATGTTCATCCTTTAAGTTTTATCTAATTCAGATAACATTTGTGCTGTTTTGCATTTCAGGTTCACAGGTTATCTAAATCATATTGAGACAGCTCTGGTGCATTTAACTTCAAGGAATGTCAAGTTGAATGAGAGAGATTTCTTAACATCTTTTAAAATTTAGGTAGTTAAGAAATGGATTACAGTATGTGTTTTTGACAATCAAGTAATTAGATGGTGGAGCTTGATATGTTCAATGCAAAAAAAAAAGCTTGAAAAATATTGGAAGCACCAAGAAAGAAGTAAAACGTTTCCAAGTTCATGAGGTCACTGTGCTTGAGTAAAAATGTGCTGGACTAAGTTATAGTCCCTGTTCTGACACTAACCAGATACCTAAATATGGACAAGTCACTTAACTCTCTGTATCTTAATTTTCTTACCTTCTAAATGAAGTGTGAGTGGTGTGTGCATGTATGTGTCTGTGTGTCTGTATGTGGATGGTGAGGGACAGATAAGGAACAGATTCAGTTAATCTTTAATGGTATAGCCTGAGCATTTAATGATTTTATACTACTTTATGACAGAGCCAGGCATTTTCCTAGATGTAAACTGAATATATTTTTTTAAAAATTAAAAATCTAAATGAGAGCAAGATTTTAACAATTTGCCTAGCAGGTGGAACAAATGTCAACAGTTCCTTGTTGCTATTGGTGGCCATATATAAAACATTAGACTACTGGAGGAGGGGTGAAGAAAGATCTGAATATAAAAACAGAGAATGCTTATAAGGCCAGAACCACCTTGAGGTTGGTATAGGAAATGTGTACATGAACGGTCACTTTGTGAATATATGCTATTTTATAATTTTGATTTATTTTCTTGAATTTGTTTTTTTTTAATTTTACATTTTTTTCAAATTTATTTATTTGTTTTAAAACTTTTCTTCACTTTTGGTCTTGGTTCACCCAGTTTTTTTTGGGGGGGGGCTATTATTTTTTAAATAACATTTCATTTTTCAATTACAGTTGACATACAATATTATAGTAGTTTCAGGTATACAACATAGGGATTTAGACATTTATATAACTTACAAAGTGATCACCCCAATAAATCTAGTACCCATCTGACACGATACATAGTATTGTAATATTTACTATTGGGTTGTCAGAAAAGTCATGATGCATGTTTGCGACAGATAGCACTAGTTCATTTTTGGAAGTACTAGAGTCATTCGCATCTATGTTATTGCTATGTCACTTGACAGCTGACAGTTTTAGCTTCATTCTAAAAAAAACTGAGCGATTTTGGTTGAGTTTTGGAGATTTTACAAGTTGAAGTTGGAAGACCAAATTGTGCATTTTTGCCATATTTTACTGTTTTGCTTCCATAAAGGGAAGAACGCACATCAAGCTTGTGAAAAGTTGCATAAAGTTTACGGTGACAATGCTCTACAAGAATGGCTGTGGTTGGGAGCGGGTGGGGATGGGGGAGAAGGGGAGGGGATTGAACAGCATAAATACGTAGCTGCAGTGTTGCCACAGGGACGTGGAAGGCAGTTCGAGGAATGTAATTGATGGTGTTGTGAATATTTTGTGGGGTGTCAGGTGGTCACATGTCTTGCTAGGGAGACTGCATCATGGATGG